TTCGACTATAATCCTCAATAGGGTTAACTAATTTAACTTAAAAAAACTTGTTTTATATTTGTTTGTTTTATTCAACTTGGAATGGCAAACAAGCTGACGGCCCACCTGATGGAAAGTGGTAACCGTCGCCTATAGACATGAGCAGTACCATGGGCATAACAGAGTATACTGTTTCGCCCATGATACCCCCCATGCGTTGCCATTCCTGAGGACTCAGGTGTTATTCCTCTGTACCCAGTAAATTCACGACATATCCCAAAACCGAAACACAGTCATGCAAACACAACTCTTCACGGTAGAAACACGAATGGGACAGAGGTCCTCGACTTTTGTACAAAGTAACTTACAACTTAACTAAAAGACTTATTAAACTTGTTGGATTTTCTTAAATTAATTTGGGATTGTCATATCAGCCCTTAATTGTCCACTGCTCCTCCATAAGAGGGGTTTTGCCAGTAATTGCCACGCTTGGCAGACCGGTTGGCATCCGCAGTTAGGCTTTGGTGATGTTTTAAGAGGGACGCTGCTACCCATCCTTCCATCATAACCTCTTACGACACCCACGGGAAAGGAAAATTTAATAAATATGGGATTATAGATGTTTTTAAATGTTTTTTTCAATTCTTTCAATTCATACACTTTAATTTGTAATTAGAGTTTTTAGTTAACTTACGATGTTAGATGTCTTGTAAGTCTATGTAGACTGTATACTACTCGGCCATAAAGCTCTATATATCAAATATAGGGCCAATATTTTGGGTTGAATTTTAATCTGTTACACGAAAAAAGACTTTAATTAGGATAGAATTAGAACAAGATTGGCACGGCAGTGATCTCCGTCTTTGTGCACACAACAATTATATAAGTGAATTGAGAATCATCTCCTTTGAAGTAGGTTAAAGACGAGAATAGGCACGTTGTGGTAGGTCGGACACGCAGAGAGAATGTCGGATATAAAGTTGACTAAACAGGTAATTATAATACGGATGTCGGCGAAACTAGAGACGTTCGCATAGAGGTCATTCACATCAGGTTATATTTTGTCTACTCCTACAAGATATTCAAGATAGAATCATTATTTTTCTACATTCTTCATGTATTTTATTTTCTAGACTAATTGTTCATTATAAATACATATATATAATTAAATTGTAATTATATTGTTGTCTGTAGGAGATATTTAAGAAAAATCGATATGAGGGATCTCAATAAGAACAAAAAAGTATTTTTTTTTATCTGTCTGTTTGTAACGGTTATGAAACGGTAATTTATACTGCGGGCAATGGAAACTGGTTCGTGCCTTATATTGGTTACTTATTTATAATGTACATAGCGTCTATTTACTTTAACAAAAAATAATATGTATATACATTATTACTCTAGCATAATTATGTCAGTAATCCATAATATATAAATATAAACCATATATTTTAAATCGTATACAAATTTTCACTTGGCATTTAGGATAATCCCATTATTCGGTCTAATTTCTATGAAGTGTATTTTTGTATAATTACACTATTATATGAATAGGGGATTCATAAAAACTAAAACTTCCTTCCTTAAAACGGCCGATTTTAACTATTATATTACAGTGTATTGCCATTTACGTTTAAATTGAGAATTTTTTTTGATGAGGGATAATGGTATGGTAACCCCGCCTGCGCTAACGGAATACGCTAGCGGAGCACCAGTGATAGATGAGAATGAAAACAGGTCAGTTAGCCCATCAAGATGAATTCATCAGGAATTAACCATGATAGTTTCCAGGAGGAACGGCGAGGAGGTCGACCTGGTTGGGTATATTGCTAGCAATGGGATTCTCAGTCTTCATTACTAACAATCCCTTTCCCCCCGGCATATAATATGTTCAATTGTTTATAATCTCAAGTTATAATAATATATAGCCGGATATACGTAAGCTCAAGTATAACAGGTACTAGTACGCCAGTTTAATACTGAGTCGACGCACTATTAAACAAAACAATGTAGAAAAAAAATTATAATGGTCATAAAAAATATGGTATTATGGTATATATATATATATATATATATATATATATATATATATATATATATATATATATATATATATATATATATATATATATATATATATATATATATATATATATCCCGTGGGTGTTGTAAGAGGCGACTAAGCGAGGGCGAAGGATAGATAGCAGCTTCCCGCCTGACAAGCGTGGCAACTACCGGCAAAAGGGGGGAAAGGGGTTGTTAGTAATGAGTTCTAACAGTCCCATTGCTAGCAATATACCCTAACAGGTCGAATTCCACGCGGTTCCCCCCGATCATTTTTACGATGGGACGATTGAACTGCCTTTTTCCTTGCCTATCATCTGTCACTGGTACCCCGCCAGCGTATACCGATAGCATAGGCGGGGTTAACATTCCATTATTATATATTAAAAATAAGTATGTACATCATAATTTAGGTAGATACTAGATAATGCTTTAGTACTCAGGAATGGCAATGTATGAGGGGTCTTAGGAGTATGGCAATATACTCTGCCATTACAAGTTTCAGATATAATGGATTCATAATAGCAAAGCGATTTTTTTATGGATGATAATGGAATGGTAACCCAGTTTGCGCTAACGGTACGCTGGCGGGGCACCAGTGAAGGATGATAGGTGAGAATGAAAAGACAAGTCAATTAGTTCATCGTGGTTAATACACCTGGAATTCTGTACGATGGTTTCCAAGGGGGTCCACGTGGAGGTCGACCTGACATTGTATATTGGAAGTAATGCGACTGATAGTCGTTACTAACAAGCCCTCCCCCCTAGCAAAGCGATTATACAAATGAGAACTAGTAGCAATCGAGTTACATAATAAAACCACAGGTGGTATTTTAGACAAATACCTATATCTTTATATGAATCAATTCTCCTAATCACGTAGCTACGATTTTGCTGTTATGTATGTAAACAATTTTATTTTTAAACGGTCATTATTATGCATAATAATAATATTTGAACTTTGTAGAACTGGTATTTGGATTTTTTACTGGTTGTGATTACTAGTACATAATGTAAAAAATGGCGCCCACAAAAATCACAATTCACTATTCGACGATTCATAATTATTGTGTTTTACATTTAATTACAGAACACCGTCATCAGACATATTATCCTTACAAAGATAATGTTTTTGGATGAATTTTTAGTTTTTTTTTATACTATAAAGGTGGCAAACAAGTATATAGTCCGTCTGATGGTAAATGATTACTAACAGCCTATAGACGCCTGCAACACTAGGAGTGTCACGTGCGTGTTGCCGACCCTTAAGAACCGGGGGGAAAGGGATTGTTAGTAATGGAGTTTGACAGCCCCATTGCTAGCAATATGCCTTATAAGGTCGACCTCCACGTGGTTCCCCCTGGAAACCATCGTGAACAATTCTTGTTGAATTCGTCATGATGGGCTAACTGACCTACTTCATCCTCACCTGTCATCTTTCACTGGTGCCCCGCCTGTGTATACCGATATCGCGGGTGGGGTTACCATTCCATTATCATCCATTAAAAAAAAACTCTTAAGAACCTTTAATATACCCTTTTTTATACTCCATATATTTCCAAGGAAAACATCAGCAGGTAGCTCATTCCACAGTTTAAGGGTTCGCTGAAGAGATGTTTTCTCCCATGAACACTCAAGTTATTGAATAAGCTCCCTGCCGTGGTTTTTCCGAGAGACTACAGCATGGGGTTCTTCAAAAGGGGGTAAAGAGGTCTCTTCAGGATCGGCAACGTGCCATTGCAGGCATTTATAGGCAGATTAACACACGAATCAGGTAGGCCATATGCTTGGATAGGTAGCAGTAGCTCCTTACTACCACTTATCAGATTAACGAACGTTGGGGGGAAAGGGATTGTTAGTAATGGAGACTGAGAATCTCATTACTAGCAATATACCCAACTAGGTCGACCTCCTCGCGGTTCCCCCTGAAAACTATCATGATTAATTCCAGACGAATTTATCATGATGGGCTAACTGGTCTGATTTCATCCTCATCGATCACCATTCACTGGTGCCCCGCCAGCGTATCCCATTAGCGCAGGCGGGGTTACCATTCCATTTTCATCCAATAAAAAAAAACACGAACGTTTGAAAGATCAGCTATAACAATAAAAAGTTTTTAAATATATTGATAATAAAATTATACATCTCTAAAGAGGCGCGCAAATCCTTTTTTTTTATAACGGCTTTGGACGTAAATGTAATAGTTAGGGATTTAAAGAAAATAATATTAAAGGCAATTAACTAATTAACTAACGTAATGGTTTAATAATTATGTATTACATAATAGCATAATAAAAGTATAAATGCTACTTGTTCTATTTGTCGGAACAAGTTTTACTTATCATGTACTAGTTAGTACATTATGAAAAACGACTAGATTTATCGCCTCACGACATTACTCGGAAAATATATCGACTATGTCACGGCAATTAAGCGTTTTAAAATCGAGATAAGAAGTCATAAGTTATCATATTAATGTAAACAAATAAACAAAATATACCTATAAAATGTATCTCGAGTTAATTACCATTGTCATTTTAATAACACTACTAGTAACAATAGCTATATATATTACTATGTATATTTTATATATATACCTGGCATATTTTGTAAACAATCTTCGTTAAAATGTCTCCTTATCGAATTTTATTATTTAAATGTGAATCAGACAAAAGACTATTAAAATTCAATTGATTAAATATTAAACTTTTTTTTTTTAGTAATGTTATTCATTATACGTGTCAAGATTTCCAAATACGTTATATAAATAAAAAAAAAAAAATTGTGTACAGATAGCATTTAACCTGTTTTTTTTTTATACATAAATATAAAATGAAACCTTACAATATGCACGACCTGTCGCTTATAGAGAAGAAAGTGGTACTTTCATTTTCAACACTAGCCGACTGCTCGATCAATAAAATTAATGATTGGAAAAAAATGTAAATACTCACCAGACTGATCCAAACGAGACATTGAATAATCCAATACATTATGCTCTTGAAAAACATATAACCATGTTCACAATGTTTCGTCGACCACAACGCGCGCGTGGTGTTTAATTATTAACTTACATGACGAAATTCACGCGATTTATTTGCGACTCGTAATGACGCAGGGTCCCAGCCTTATTTGTCGATATCGATATACCTAAACGTGCACCTCTTTACACGTACGTGTGACAACTGACCGACCGCACCGGCTGAGCAGTTCACGCCGTCGCGAGACAATAAATCGAAGACCTACACGGCTCCTTAACTTTACCATTGTACACGGAACGCATAAAAGGCGGGGAGGCTCATTTTAAGATGGCCACTTTTTAAGGACAGCAGCTGTTCGATTTTTCTTGCCAATTGCACCCATTCACTTTCAAGTTCGAAGTTCAAAATGTTGTTATCGTGCATTCTCTGTTGCTAAGGTTAATTATCACTTCTCTGTTGGATAAAATATTCAAATATATTGTCGCAAGTTTGGATCTCACGATCGTTTATAAAAATTGTGTGAATTTAAATTTGCGACTAACTTTCCGGTGATGAAAAACATCGATGAAAAATTAAATTAACTGGAGTGGTGGTGATAGGATTGTTCTTTGTCACACTGGATTCTAATACGCTTAGCAAAATGCGGGTATGTCGAGTATTATAACGGCAAAAAAGTCGGAGGGAGAAGGAGTTGTGGGTATCGAGATCCAGTCTGTGAGGTCGACCTCCACGCAGTTTTCGCGGAAAACCATCGTGGTTAATTCTTAATAAATTTATCACGATGCTTACATTAACCTGGTTTCATTCTCACCTATCATCCCTCATTAGTGCCAAGTGCCAGCGTATGCCGATTTTGTGACTTCAATTATGGGAAAATAAGACGTTTTGATTTCAAAACTAAACTACTAAATTGATTTTTCAACCGACTTCAAAAAAGGAGGTTATCAATACGAATGTATTGTTTTTATATTTAACTCGGTCAGTTATAAACCGATTTGGAAAATTCTTTTTTATCTAAAACGAATCGATACGAAACCGATTAGTTTCATGGAAATGTTATCAAATTTCGTTCATTACTTTAGTTGTTAAATAAAAATTACTGGTTTTGTCATATTTGAAGTTTTTTTTTTTGTGTAACGTAGTATTGTAATAAAATAACCAGCAGATGTCAAGTTTGGTATACTATTTTAAAATTAATTTTAAAAATTCTTTCATTATTAAAGTCTGTTGAAATAACTGCAACAGTCGATCAGTCACTGTTATTACACCATTAGCGATTACTGTCGTGAGCATATATTTATTAATTTAAAATAGTTTTAAATTTATTCCAATAATTATTCTAAAAATTATAACTGTATCGATATAATTATAACTCTCCTAAGGTCATGCCTATGGGAATTTACAATATGTATTATTATAATTAATTAAATATATACCGGAATATATATAAAATTATTATGTTATAAATATCGTTGACGTTATTTTTTGTATAACTCTTATAATATTAAATAATAATCGAGGAATAACTACATGGGACAGTGACATAACACTAGGTGTCATGTCGTATTGGGAGGTTAGAGATACGGTTTGGGATAGAGCTGGCTGAAAGAAATTGCATGAATTATTTGCACCAACCGAAGAGAACACTATTGAAAAGAAAAGAATAAATCTTTATAAATCTATACATAAATCTGTTTCCTAATAGGTTATGTTAGTTACTAGATACCTAATGAAGCTAATTATTTTAGTATTTTCAAGTAGTCACCAGAAAAGCAATATTATTTTTTTATTTATATGCTTCTGTACAAACACTTTTAATTTAGATATTAGGTTATTACAAAAATGTACAGAGATGGACTTATCCCTTCAAGAAATTTCTTTCAGTCAATCTTGAGAACTTGAAAGGAGAAATCTACGGGGTTTGTATATAAAGCGTAACATATATGGTGCAAATATAATATGATAAATAATAAATTATATTATTATTAATTATTATTAGTAGTAGTTAATAATAGACTAAAGATAAATAAATAAATAATATTAATAAATGTAATAAAAAATATAAATAAATGTATATGAATATAGAATAACTATTATACATATAATTAACTCAACTGTCAATAGTATTGTAAAATCTTTTTCTTTGAGTTTAGTAGGCATGAAAGCTCTGTACCATTCTGGTATTATATGAGCGAGATTTCCAAAGTCTGGCAGTAATTCCAATGTATGATGTTTAGGACAACACACGGAGATTGGGAATTCTAAAGGGAAATTCCTCTTGGAGATAATCCGCAACGGAAGAATCAAACAAAATTTTATACAACAAGGACAGGATGTACATATTACGTCAGTACCTTATTGGGATTTTCATACAATTTCAGGATATGTCTATATATTTATAGAAACAATTGTCGGAAACAACAAAAGATCGTAAGTTAATGATAATGATTTTGATCATTAGAAAAGTTATTACCCACTTTACATTGATAGTCGTTATATTTTAACTAGTGATCCGGTCTGGCTACGCACAGATAGATTGTCTTTTCGAAAATAAAACAAACTGTTACTCGCTAATATTGTAGCTTTATGTAGATGAAAGAAATTTTAAAAATGGTTGAGTAAATTCTATTATAATCAAGTATCTCTCCTCTTTATAATATTAGTATAGATATATGTAATATTAATACCATTAAATGAAACTAAAGAAATTATTTTAATAAAAAGATGGTTCTATTAAGTAAATAACTATTCAAAACAAATCTTAGAAGGAAGAAGTTCAGACAGTGCAAATTATACTAACTGGATCAACCAACGGGAGATTTTGTACAAAAGTCGTCTGCCTGGGTACCTCTGTCCTATTCGTCAATTTTATTATGTTAGAAACAGTTTTTGTTTGTTGAAAAAAGAATATTAAATTAACGGACCTTTTCACTGACAAAAAATAGTCGTACAATTGGTTTCTAACCTATTTATCTTCTATCCTATGTTAATATATTGAGAAATATTTTTACATAGAGGTTTTTATTGAAAATTGATTATTAAAAAAAAAAAACTTACAAATAAATTTAGAATTAAGATATAGATAGTTTTACTTGAAAACACCTCATTGAAACCTTTATTACTTATTTAATTTGTATAAGGTTTTAAATTAATACTTTTTTTTCGCAAATTAAATTGGCAAAGAAAGTAACAGCCCTCCTGATGGAAATTGTTAACCGTCGCCTGTAACCAGAGAGAGACTTTGTTCAAAAGTCGATTGCTTGGGTACCTCTGTATCATTCGTGTTTCTACCGTGAACTAATTGTGTTTGCGTGGCTGTGTTTCGGCTTGAAGGATGGGATATGGCGTGTATTTACAGGGTAGAGAAGAATAACACCTGAGTCCTCAGGAATGGCAACGCATGGAGGGTATCATGAGCGAAACAGTATACTCTGTTATGTGTATTTTACAAAATATAAGCGATAAATTTTTAATTCTTCCTGTGTATACCACTTAATCCAGGTGCTTAATCCCAGGCTGGAGACATTTTGCCCGCTATGCCATCCTATTATTACGTTACTGGTCGTGAGAATATAAGTTTGAAAAAACTATTAAAATAATTATAGCAAATTCGAGAGCAAATATTAGTCTATATTACAAAGAAAAAACCAAATAGGACGAGCTAATGTCTAGTATACTTACTCTTTGGTTAATGCACAGCTTTCTCTCTCTCGGGCACTGGTCAGTCGGGTCTCACTTTGCTGTTATCATTTATCACCTTTCAATGTGCACTTTATACGATTTACATTCGCAATTATATTAGATTTCAAAAGGATGTAAATAGAACTTACTTATTCAAAATATGTGGAATAAACTTGTGCAAATTGAATCAATTAGGTACATGGTATAACTTTCACTTTTTTAATACAATTTTAAACAAGATTACTTCGTATGCGTGGATTTCAAAAGTATGAAAACGAATAACTAGACAGCTTTTTTTATACAACTTAGAATGGCAAACAAGCTGACGGCCCACCTGGTGGAAAGTGGTAACGGTCGCCTATAGACATGAACAGTACCATGGACATAACAGAGTATACTGTTTCGCCCATGATACCCCCCCATGCGTTGCCATTCCTGAGGACTCAGGTGTTATTCCTCTGTACCCAGTAAATTCACGCCATATCCCACCCTTCAAACCGAAACACAGCCATGCAAACACAACTGCTTCACGGTTGAAACACGAATAGGACAGAGGTACCCAAGCAATTGACTTTTGTACAAAGTCTCCCTCTGGTAAAGTCAAGTTAAAAATATACATCACTTTTGATGTTAAACGTTCGTCTAAATTAGAATACAACCGTAAAAACTGCATTTTTTGCGTGATGCCGGAACAAACATATTGTCAGACAAAATTTCTAAAAAATATTATTTTGGAAACTACTGGTCTATTAAAACCACAATTATTAAAAAAAAATTAATAGCTTCTTTGTACCGGCATCGTCTTGTTACAATTTCATTATATTAGTAAAACAAGATTTTTTTATAACGCAGTGGGCAAACGATTATGCGGCTTACTTTGATGGTAAGTGACTATCGCCGCCCATGAGCACTCGCAGCACCAAAGGCATTGCAGGTGTGCTACCGGCCCTTATGTATAGTCTGTATTTGTTTTATTTACAAAGGAGATGTTCTTGTAAAAGAATGATTGTTAGTTGAAACTATATTGAATTTTTTATACAACATCGAATGGCGAATAAATTGACATTTAACGTGATGGAAGTGGTCATCGTCGCTTATAAACATGAACAGCTCCATGGACCTCATAGACGACTACAATGCCGCTGGTAGGGCCTTAGGCATTATAATGGTAGCATAACATCTTAGTCTTCGCCGTATTGTTCCGGAATGGAATGAGCCACTCCTTCCAGTCCCGTTGGTAACGTAAGAGGAGACTAAGGAAAGCTAATAGTCGAGGGAACAGCAGCAGCCTTTTAAAACATCACTAAAACTTAACTGCGGTTGCCGGTCCGCCTGTCAAGTGTGGCAATTATTGGCAAAACTTTCCTTATGGAGGAGGTCTATGTTCAACAGTGGGCAGATAACGGCTGATATCATGATGATGGTGATGATGATGGTGATGATGATTACCTCATACAAAAGTTTAAAATAAAACAGCCATACAAAGAATTTTGCTAATCAGCTCTCTTTATAGGTATATCTAAGGGTAATATTAGAAAAGAGGGAGGGAAAGGGATTGTTAGCAATGGAGTTAGACAGCCCCATTGCTAGTAATATGCCTTATTAGGTCGACCTCCACGTGGTTCAAACCATCCATCGTGAACAATTCTTGTTGAATTCGTCACGATGGGCCAACTGACTTATTTCATCCTCACCTATCATCCTTCACTGGTGCCCCGCCGGTGTATACCGATAGCGTGGATGGGGTTACCATTCTATTTGCATTCATTAAAAAAAAATGCTAGTGAAAAATTCCCTTTTTTCGGTAGCCAATTTGGGAAAGACCAATAAAGAAGCCTATTGGATTATAGGATGAGTAATTAACTTTTCCTGTTTATAATATTATAATAGTATAAATGATGTCATTCACACAATTCCCCATTCCCTATTACGGTATTGTATATTGACGTTTACCAGGGATACTCATTATCGTAGTGGATGTAAATTGTGTACGAGAAATAATACATATGTATTATATTAATCAATAGACATATATATATATAGGAAATGTGTAAGATTTTTTTTTTGTGGGATGATAATGGAACGGTAACCCCGCCCGCGCCATCGGTTAACGTTGGCGAGGCACCAGTGAGGAAAGATTGGTGAGGATGAAAAGGCAGGTCAGTTAGCCCATCATTACAAAATCTACGATAAATTAGTCACGATGGTTTCCAGGAGGAACCGCTTGGAGGTCGACCTAATAGGGTTTATTGATAACAATGGTTACTAACCTCCCTATTACTAACAAATCCCTTCCCCCCGAAATGAGTGGTCTTGATAAGAGTAATAGAAACAATGCTTTTAGATTTTTTTCTACTTGTCTGTCTATAGGTTTGTTCCAGGATAAAGCAAAAACTACTATTTCAAATTAAAAGCAGTTTTCACAGTTGTATTCTTTAAAGTCGTACATAAAATATAGTGTATATTTCATTTTAATATACCACTTTTTTATACCGCAAAGGTGGCAAACAAGTATATAGCTCGTCTGATGGTAAACAGTCACTGTATAATATGGACGCCTGCAATATTAGGAGTTGCTGACACTGAAGAAACCTTAATATATCCTTTTTTAAGAACTTCATATTGTAGACCTGTAGACCAAGATCTCGGCACGGAGCTCATTTCACAACTTGAGCGTTCGCGGAAGAAATCCATTTGAGACCGCACTGTACGCGATCATTTAGGTTCAAGTGTGTGAGGACGAATTCCTTGTTGATGGGAGCGGTGCGATAATCAAAGGTATCTGTGGACATCATTTCAAACATCATTCCTCATAATCCGTTATACATATACCATCTGGGAGTTATTATCATAGGCTTTCTTGCTTCGAAAATTCACGCATACGCGGTCGCGGTTAAAATCTAGTATTAAAACTTTAATATAACTATTTAAATAATATTACAGTAAACATACAAATAATTTTACGCACTCTACCACACACATACATTCAAATTACACTCTACACACAGGGAGAACATTTTTTCACAATTTTTATTATAACCAATAGTTATAATTAGATGAATTAACTTTATATAAAATCAACATTCTATGTATATGTAGCACTAAAAATTTAGCTGAACTAATATTATACTATGTAATGAGGGTTGATCGCTGTTGTCTGAGATACAGGTTTTATAACCTAGTTCAGACACAGATGTTTAAACTTATCCAAATGTACAAATGAATTCGTACCTACTTTTACTGTAATTTATGCAATAAAGTTATTATTATTTTTTTTTATGCAAACTTTATTACTCAGCTATAGATGGTATATACGCTACTTTGCATATACTGCACTTACGGGCCGAGACCAAGTAAGTGCAGTGTGAGTTTTTGTGTGTGTGCGTGTGCGCGCCCATGCATGCATATGCATGTGCATGCTCACACACCTATGGCTATGTGTATGCAACTATTACATGTTATGTCTCTGTGGTATTATTAAATGTTTCGTTTTCTATTTGCAGGAATTTTCGATATTATTATTATATTAGTCATTAAAGATATGTTACAAACCTGTGACGCGTTCAAAATTTCCTCACGTAAATCGGTATTTACTGTGCTCAGTTATGACTCGTTAATTGATTAGCCAACACCATTTACCCTATAGCCTGTTAATAATAGAATTATTTGTCAAAATACACGTAATAGTTATACGAATATTAATCATTATTCAATAACGACATTATTTTGTAATGTTTGTGTTTAGAATAATCAACAAATTGATATAAAAAAAATATTTTAAAGTAAAAAGAAGTAAAAAGTAGAAAATACATACAACCACAATTTTTTACCCTTTTACAATCAATCTAAGTTTTTTAATCGCGATTTTTATATTTCGCAATAAGGTAGTATTCGTAAGAAGCAAACGAATATAATAAATATAGTACCATGAATTTTCATATACAGTTCTAGAAATAATGTATATGGTAAAACAACGTTTGCCGAGTCAGCTAGTACTCTATATACTTAGGCATAAAATGTATTTTGACGTATTATTTAATAAATAAAATGGGTGTTTACACATTAAAAAGATGCAAAATGTATAAGGCAAAGTAAATATAGAAGAATTCACTCATAACTATTTATCACACACAATTGTATAATTGTGTGTGATAAATAGTTATGTATTTATGTATATATATAATTGTATAATTGTATTCTCGAAGCATTTCTATGGAGACACTCTATCTATATGATCTAAGACCTAAAAAGTCCTGGGTGTTAATTAATAAATAGCTCCTGTCTATGCATCAATGTTACGATAATGCTTTTAAATATTTGTAGGCGTTCTTTGTTTAGTTCATGACTAGCTTCTGCGGAAGCTAATATTATCCATAAGCGTAGGGTTTGGAAGCGGGTAACTTCTGGATCTATGATATAATATACACAAAATTAGGAATAAGTAAATAGGTAGATAGAAAAAAAAAATTGTAATTGTTGTTTTGGCTTCTATTATTACATTAATTATTTTTTCTTAATAACTCCTATGTACCGACAGGCATTGTCTAGTTACAATTTTATTGTATATATATATATGTTAATAAATCGACAGATTCGCGCCCAATAGTGGAATATCCATGGATTGGTATAGTATTTAATTATTTGGCACGTCTACACTGTGAATATGCGACATGTATGTCTGCGACAATAATTCTAAGAGGAGATAAATTAAACGACAATCTTATTATAATACTATATTTTTAAATTAAATACTTATTATGACTAGGAAATAATAGTGATGCCATTTTTTTTTTATTAATTAAGGTAAACATGAATTAAGTATCTATTTTTTTTACCACAAAGGTGGTAAACAAGCATACAGCCCGTCTGATGGTAAATATAGAAGTATTTGGTGAATGTTGATCTAGTTAAGATTAAGCCAATAGATGCCTAATATATGTTTTAGATACATTGTGATCATTTTATAATATAAGGTTTAGACGTTAAGTAACTATTGAAATTTCACTTACTGCAACTTAAATTCTATATTATATTTAAAGTATTTAAATTGTACTTAGCTCAGTCAAATATCATTTATAATCTATACTTACTTATATTTTATAACTAATCTATGTATTTTTATAAATATATCAAAATGTTAAACATAGTTGAATACTTATTAATAAAGTTATTATTTATACAGTACAATTCTTCAGAAAATGAGAAAAAAAAAAAGAAAATAAACGCTTATCAAATATTTTCATTTCTCTAATTCATAACTGAAAATAAGAATTTTCAATGGTGATGTTCATAGAAATCCCATAGAAAGGTAAAGGATTTATTAACTTTTAAACTACATGATTAATAGTTTATAAGAGAAAATATAATAGCAATTTTACAACACAACAAAAATGATCGAACCATTGCGGTAACTCAAATAAATTTATATTTTTTTAACTAAGTAATTAATTTCTGTTTTTTAAGAAGTAAAAGCTAAGGATTTCTTAATTTTTTTTTTTTATTTAACAAATGGGATTTCTATTTCTTTTCAAATTTTTTTGCAATATAGTTTAAAAATCAGTTATTTTAAAAATATAATAAAAAAATAAAGATTCCTAGTAAGCGGTACTTTTCAATTAATTCTTTATATGCTTAACAGTGAGATGAAATATAATGATATATTTTATTAGCATGAGATCATAAAATAATGTTATTAATAAACCTTAATAATGAAAAAGTTTTGACTGAAATAAAATTATTTCTAAACACATATACAAATTCAAATAATAATAAATAATACTTAAAAAATAAATTGCTTTTAAAATTAGTTAAAAATGTGAGTATCAGCTGCACCTAAGTTATTTTTAAGTTTATTTTAATATGAGATTTAATAATTGAAAATTATACATGACTAATAATGGCATAGATACGTACAGTGAAAAAGTAATAAATATAAAATATGAGAATGAAATATCAGTAAACAATAAAATATTGCAGATTTTAAGAAAAATAATAGAGTTACTACATATTTCGCTTTCAAATTACGTATGTCTAGAAAAAAAAAAAGAACTTTTAGAGTCTCTAGATGTTCTGCATCTCGATATCATTTCAACTACCTTTTAAAACAAGTGAAATTTGGTCAAATGATTCTAGATTTACATTTTTTTGTATCTAGTATTGAGAGAATATTAGGTTTTAAATTAATTTTAAATTAGTGGTAATTTAGTCTTTTGATTATATTACCTACCTTTGTCATTATTATCATGTATACATACAAGTTAAATATATAAAAGGTGCTTATTCATCGATTACTCAGGCAAATGATAATTTAAACGATCTTGTAATGACAAGAACAGCATACAGGCAGTTCGGCTTTGACTCTCTCTGTACCGTTGCGCCCGTTATCAACCAGGAACTCCCATGTGCTGGTCTTCTGTTTACACAACGTCGTGATTCCTGGGAACGTGCCTACATCTGTGAAACAGCTGGCGCCAAGATCGCTGGAGATCAGAAAAAATAAGTACATGAAATATATGTGTATAAGTACATAAAATATGGACCTCCTCCATTAGTTGGCCACAAGGGACGGTCCTAAGGCACCTGCATTCACTGTTACCTATGTATCATAAAATAAATAAATGAAATGAAATCGTCATTCCATCTATTCCACCTACACTACGTTTGCCCATATGAAGTCACCACTCAAAGACCTGTCTTGCCCATCTGTTGTCGGTTCGTCGAGCTATGTCACCAGCCCATTGCTACTTAAGTTTGCTTATTTTATACTTTGATTCTTTTGTGGATATCCTCATTTGGGATTCTGTCACATAAAGAAACTCTGAACTTAGTCCTCTCCATAGCCCGCCGAGTAATTTGAAGCCTTGGAACATGGGTAACCGTGTAGGATTATGTTTCGATTCCATAGGTAATAAACTGGTAATAAACCTTTGTTTTCAAATTTTGAGGAGTTTTGGATTTATTATATTTGTATTAGTATATTACAATGATTTAAATGTAAAGATTAATATAATTTTTTGAGAGCATTAGGTAAATGTTTTTCATACTTAAATATCGTATAAAAATTAAGTATAAATGACACTTATATTAACCCTTTCCACTTCAATGTCGAGTGTCACTCGACATTGATTTTGTTCCACCAGCTCCACTGTCAAGTGACACTCGACATAGTGTAATACTTCTTTTTGCGGACGAAAGCTGGTGGATTAAAAAGAAAAAAAGGCTTAGAGTGGAAAGAGTTAAAATGTGTTAAAAGAAAAGGACTCACATTTTGAAATATAAGGCAAAATATGGTCATGTAAAAACTATTAAACCTGAAAAGTTTCTACTGGTTCATCTATAGTCCATAACGACGTTTGTGTCACAGTGGTAGGCACATTGTTTTGCGTGAATGAGGTCCCGGGTTTGATTCTTCATCAGGTTAATTTAATAAACAAACTTTTCTAAATAGGTTCTGATCTGGGTGTTCTAGTTGGTGCTCCCAAATGTTACTTGTCTGATTCCTTATATACACAATGCATTGTAGCGTGAGTTATGATATATTGGAGTTGTGAATTTCTTATAGTCATTTAAAGTAGTTGCTATACCACAGTATAAAAAACTTTGTTATACTTACTTGCAGATCTCCAGGCGTACCATCTGTACGTAATTTTCTTCTGGCGCCTGCACCACAGTGCGCCAGTCCCCACGCTTTGTGCGCACCCTGTATAGCGGCTCGTACTGTAATAAATTACGAGATAACTATTAAATTAAAGGTAGTAAAAAGTAACAGCTTGAGGTACAATTAAATATGTGACTGGTGCCAGCAGTAGGTTTTGAAGAGACCTGTGTTACAAGTCGGCTTGAAGGGTGGGATATGGCGTGAATTTACTGGGTATAGAGGAATAAAACCTGAGTCCTCAGCAATGGCAACGCATTGGGGGTATCATGGGCGAAACAGTATACTCTGTTATGTCCATGGCACTCCTCATGTCTATAGGCGACGGTTACCACTTTCCATCAGGTGGGCCGACAGCTTGTTTGCCATTCTAAGTAGTATAAAAAAAAAGTCACCAGTGCCCCATCTCTATGGACTACACAAATATAAAGCTATCAATTAATATTACAACATACAGATAACAAATAAATAATCCACTTGGACTCAAAAAATAAATAACAATAATATAATATATATTTCATTATTCAGAGGAAGAAACTCCCTAGAATGTAAAATGAAGCTTATAAATTATACGTAGTAGTTACTAATGTAAATCTAAAAGGTCAATGCATAAAGCAATTCATCGCAAGGAGATTGATAATATACATGTATTTAGGTATATATTATAGAATAAGCAAGGCTGTGAACAGGTTTGCTCATTACTACGTGTATTATATTAGTCACTGTTGCTATTGTACTAACATTCATCTTGTTTGTGTACTACCAGCCAGTCTTTACAATTGTGTTATTATAGTAAAAACATTACCAAATTCACAAACGTGTTTCATTTTAGTTTTTTTTTTTGATGGATGAAAATGGTATTGTAACCCCGCCTGCGCTAACGGGATACGCTGGCGAAGCACCAGTGAAGGGCGATAGATGAGAATGTAAACAGGCCAGTTAGCCTATCATGATGAATTCATTATGAATTAACTATGATAGTTTCCAGGGAGAATCACGAGGAGGTCAACCTGGTTGGGTATATTGCTAGCAACGGGATTCTGTCTCCATCATTAACAATCCCTTTCCCCCAGTTTCATTTTAGTTAATTATGAACTTTCGCGTTGTTTACATATATTTTAAATACACTATTTAAAAACAGAATAACAGTTTCTGTTTTTCTATTAAAAACAGAAACTGTTTATATTTATGCCTCCGATCAAACTTTGTATAATTACTCCTTTACATCTAAAGGTTGCCTGGAAGAGATCTCTTTTAGCGGTAAGGTCGTTGTTTTTTCACTATGATCATTTCTTGTCATTGTTAAAAATAAAATGTTATTCTATAAAAAGTTTACTATTGTAATTTTTTTGGAGAAAATAATAAAGAGTATCTATCTATCTATCTACATATTAAATATCGATAGTGTATTTAAAATATGTATGTTTTATGTTGTCAAATAAGTAAGATTAGAGGCAAATCAATTTAGAAAATTGCACCTCAGCTGTTTGCAATAGGAATGTAGTTTTCATTCAGATTTTATTCTGCGTGAAAAATTAAATTAAATTCCATTTATAGGCCATCTAATGCCCGAATTATCGATTGGTTATCAGCAATTATGGTATGGTAAAATATCAGTTTATTCGAGTTTTACCAAAAAATATGTCACTCATTGCGTGAAATGAAGTGAAGACTTGGATCTAAAAATATGAATATAATTATAAACAAATTAAAATTAAATGTTTGATATCAGCTTGAGTAAATGATTTTTTATAAGTAATTAAGTCGGAATTTTAATTTATATGGCAATAAACGGCAAGTCCTAACGTTGTGTTAACCTGCACAAGTATCGTAACTATAAATGTAGGTTTTTTTTTATTTATTTTGAATCATTGTTAATAATTAAACAATCACGTCAATATATTTTTTAATGGATGGCATTGGAATGGTAATCCTGCTCGCGCTAAAGGTATACACCGGCGGGGCACCAGTAAAAGATGATAGGTTAGAATAAAAGCAGGTCAGTTAAATTATTGTGATGAATAGACCTGGAATTCAGCACGATGGTTTTCAGAGGAGACCACGTGGAGGTCGACCTGACAGAGTATATTGATAGCAATGGGGTCCTTAGTCTCCATTACTAACAATCCCTTCCTGGGAGGAAGGGATTACACAGAGATATACCAACAATTAGGAAAATGAAAATCATGTCAAATTATGTTACAGAAAAAAAAATATTACATGGAATACATTATATAAAAGCTTAAGAACGAGGAATCTTAGGTAAAAGCATAGGTATTTATAGTTATAAGTTCTATTATTAATCTTAAAATAAAAAATAATATATACTTATATGTGAAAATTTGTAACGCTGGATGGATGTTTGTTTGTCTTTTACACAAAAACTACTGAAGGAATTTAAATGAAATTTGGTACACGGGTAGCTTTTATTCTAACTTAGCACATAGCATTTTTAATGCAACTTAGAATGGCAAATAAGCTAACAGTCCAGTTAATGGAAAGCGGTAACTGTCGCCTATGGATATGGATAGAATCATACACATAATAGAATGTACTGTATCGCCCATGATACCCTTCATGCGATACTGTATATACTAATTCATGCGGGTTTCACCAAGAAGTTTCAAAATACTTACCGTTACATCCGACTCGCATCCATCATGCTCGTCGGGATCTCCTTGCCTGTCGCCGATTTCAGATATAATCAACGTGGGCTGCGGTAATGGTTTCTGAAAACAAAAATATGTAAATTTGATTATTTGTTGTCGGTTTTACTTACGTATTAAATTCGGTATTGTCCGACTAGACTCGAACTCAATAAGAGCCTTATTTATGTTAGAAGTGGGTAATATTATATATAGCAATGTCTTAATATTTTAGTTACAATATCCATATACTGAAAACCAGAGATTGATAAATTTGGATGAAGCGAAAGAGGTTTGTTTGAATCGAAGCATTTGGCGTTCCATTGTTTTTGCCAACCCTAATGGGAGACAGGCGTGACAGATATGTATGTACAAAAATTAGAGAGATATTATCGTTGACTGTTCAAATACGAATTCTCAAGTACTTCGGCCATATTATGCGGAATGAAAACTGTATAGAATGTCTAATTCTCCAAGGGTCGGTACAAGGCAAACTTTCTTGGGGTAGATCACCAACGCAATGAACTGACTGATTAGTCCCATACAAATTTTATCAAAATCTGTTAAGTAGTTAAGTTTTTAAATTAAAATTACTGGTTATGCTATGACTAAATTCAATTTTTTTTTAGAAACAAAATCTATTATTACAGAAATAATTACATGAGTTCACGGTTAAGGAATTTAAGCTAATATACAAAAAATAATAAAAAGAAACTTACCGCTCCTTTGAACAATTGGTTGAATCGTTCTTGAGGATACCCGTGTGGTTTAACGGTGCAGTAGTTTTGGTTCCTGCACTGAGGGGGAACGTCGTCATCAGGTGAACCATACCTGTTCTCTGTAACTTCCTTAATTGGTCCCGGGTATACGATGGGCGAAACATCACCAGCTGGAAGACAGAAAACGGAGACCAAGTTTAGTTTACAGAAGAATCTTAGTATCCGGATTTTAGTTACTCTCGTAATTATTGAGTGAGCATCAATTATTGAATAGATTTGTATTTTTTTTATGGATGATAATGGATTGATAACCCTGTCTGCGCTATCGGTATACACTGGCGGTGCACCAGTGAGGGATGATTGGTGAGGATGAAAGGCAAGTCAGTTAGCCCATCGTGACGAATTCAACGATAAATTAGTTACGATGGTTTCCAGGGGGAACCGCATGGAGGTCGACCTGATAAGGCATATTGATAGCGATGGGGACTAACCTCTCCATTACTAACAATTCCTTCCCCCCAATAGATTTGTATTGTAATAAATAATTAAACACATAATCTCAAGTAAAACTATTGAGTCATTTTAACCATCGATTTTGGAAATATTAATTAGATATTAAATCTAGGATTTAGGTATCATTTTGGTACCGAATCATAGTCCTACACGGTTAGTGTGAGTGATAAAATCTGAAATAAGGATATCCGCAAAAAAATCTAAATAACCGACATAGCCCGAAGGATAAGCAAGTTGAAGTAGTAATAGGCTGGTCACATAGATCGAAGAATCAACAACCGACGGGAAAGAAACGTTTTTGAGTAGCAAGCATGTTTTTTTTTTTATATTTATACAATTTAGAATGGCAAGCAAGCTGACGGTCCACCTGAAGGAAAGCGGTAACCGTCGCCTATAGACATGAGCAGTACCATGGACATAACAGAGACACAACTGAACACAGACATAACTGTTTCGCCCATGATACCCCCCATGCGTTGCCATTCCTGAGGACTCAGGTGTTATTTCTCTGTACCCAGTAAATTCACGCTACAAATTGTACAGTCAATCAATCAACAAGGGCTTCTCATGCCCGCCAAATGTTATGTAGGCGGGCGAGATAGGGGCCTCGGGGTATACTCCTCTACCCCGGGTTCAACTCCGGAGGCGACGACCTCCGGGTTGCTGGGTTCTTCAGCCGACATACACTGGTGGTCTGTGTAGCATGTACAGGTAAATGCAGTGTAGAACTGTTCTCTACTAGATGGAGTTACAAGCTTAAATGCATTCCTTATGGCAGTCTATGGGAGAGGCCTATGTTCAGCAGTGGGCAGGTAACGTCTGATATGATCATAATTTGATAAAACACGTTTATTAAAAAATAAGAATTGTTAATTATTAAAACCAATGTTAATTAGATTTGCCATCAAGCTATTATACAGCAGGCATTGAAGGGCTTTGACTGGCATAGTATTATGTCATCATATATACATTAAAAATATATTTAATAACAGTGGCATAAGGAAAATATACTTGTATATTTTACATTAGACACGAATAGATGAAAACTGGTTTTAATGAACTAGTTTTTATCTGTTTAATTTACTCATAACTAGAATATAATATGGGTAACTGATTTTTTTTAATTTAATTACTTTTACTAATTATTGTTTAGAAATATCTAAATAATATGTTATATTTTTGAAAAAAATTCATTTATAAAATTAAAATAAATATTGTTTAAACAAAACGGCTGAATTTAAGTATAGTAAAATTTAGTAACCTTGATTTATTTTTGAAAAAAAATTACATCGACCCTGATCTCTCATAGAAATCTTTACAGGCAAATAGAATAATAAATATAGTAATGATTTAATTGTTTTATTTGTAATGAACAAACTCAAAAAGTACTAAACTGATTTTAAAAAATCATTCACTTATATCGACCTACATTATCAGCGAGTAATATGGATTGTTAGTTATTTTTGAAAATTCTATCTACCTGGGCGAAGCCGGGCCAGTTTTGTAGTTAATGAATAATTTAGAAAAATTGTTTGTGATCTTTTAGCAATTTAACGGCTCAACCAATGGACATGAAATTTTGTATACACTTACTATATGGAATAAAAAGGACATAGCCGAAAAATTATACCTATCAATGTACGGATCTCGGTCACGTAGACGACGTCGCTGGTAAAAGCGAGTAAAGATTTTTTTTATAGAACTTAAAATGGCAAACAAGTTAAAGGCCCACCTGATGGAAAGTTGTAACCGTCGCCTATAGACATGAGCAGTGCCATGAACATAACAGAGTATACTGATTCGCCCATGATACTCCCCATGCGTTGCCATTCCTGAGGACTCAGATGTTATTCCTCTGTACCCTGTAAATTCACGCCATATCCCACCCTTCAAACCGAAACACAGTCATGCAAACACAACTGCTTCACGGTAGAAGCACAAATGGGACAGAGGTTCCCAAGCAATCGACTTTTGTACAAAGTCTCCCTCTGGTAATATTGATAAGATATATTGATAATCAGATAAATGACACCTAATAATCATAATGGGACACAGACAAAGTGTTGATGACATAACATAAGTATTAATTATATAATTCATTGTAATTCTATACAGAATGCAACTTAGAATGCAAGCAACTTAACCAATCTTTGTGCAGTAATTTACAATAATACATAAAGGATGAGAAGCAAGATTTATTCGTATTGGTTAAAGAGTTGTCCTAAGAATAATGAGTTCTTCATTTTTTATATTCATTTTATTACACGTGTCAATCATCATCATCATCATCATCATCATCATCATCATATCAGCCGTTAACTGTCCATTTCTGAACATAGGCCTCCCCCATAAGGAGAGACACATGTCAATAACATGTGTGTAGAGGGGAAAGGGATTGTTACTAACAATCCCTTTCCATCCAGACAGCCATTCCATCCAGATGCAAACATCCAGTCCTATTGTTAAGAATATTCTCTGTCAATCTGACCTCTCCGTGGTCCCAAAAGTTAAGGCCGTGGTCATTAAGGCGCCAAGTGGTAACAAACAAACTTATTTTAACATTTATAATATTAGTAAGGATAATAACCGTTGAAATGGTAACTTGTTTTAAACAAGTCGTAATTTTCACCAGAGGGACACTTTATACAAAAGTCATTTGCTTGGACACCTCTGTCCCATTCGTGTTTCAACCGTGAAGCAGTTGTGTTTGCATTGCTGTGTTTCGGTTTAAAGGGTGGGATATGGCTGTGAATTTACAGGATACAGAGGAATAACACCTGAGCCCACAGGAATGGCAACGCATAGGGGGTATCATGGGCGAAACAGTAAACTTTGTTATGTCCATGATACTGCTTATGTTTATAGGCGACGGTTACTACTTTCCATTAGGTGGTCCGTCAGCTTGTTTGCTATTCTAAGTTGTATAAAAAAAATTTAACATTTAAGGATAATCGTTGAAAATATATTAACATAAGTTATAATTAAATTAACATATGTAGATTAGTAATAGATATTGTAATCATTCGATGGAATGTAAAGCTATCAACCTGTTTATACAAAGGGCGACAAGCAAAACCGGCACGGTTAACTTGAAGAATTAAAAAAAAAACAGTTTTAATTGAAATGAATAAGTACGATTTATAATATACATCCGCCGTGTAAGACCCGGCATAGAACGGATCCACCTTCCTTTTCCGTAGCTGTTATACGAGACAACTAAGGGAACTTAATGGTAGAGTGATGAGCAGTAGCGTTCTTCTTAAAACTCTTTGACCTCCCTATACGACATTACATTTCCTTCATTTATCTTATGTAGTTATTTATTAATTTGATTTCCTATTTAAGAGCTGTGCTCTTGTCGGTGTAGCTCTCATAGTTATTTATATATTTATGTAATATTATGTAATATATTTTAATATTTCATTTAACTGTATATTTGTTTATGTATTAAATAGTTGTAGCACTTAAGCTGCGCCCTAATGACATGCTTCCTAACTGTATTGGGTTGACTGGAAGAGATCTCTGTCAGAGATAAGTCCACCTTTGTTCACAATATTTATTAATGCATTTTATTACATATAATTTACAAACGCAATAAAGCATATATATATATATATATATATATATATATATATATATACATATATATAATTATTTTATTTTTATTTTTATATCTATTATTTTTATTATATTATGGTTGAACAATCTAAATTGTACATATCTATTATTATTTTTATTCTTCATTACGTGTATATACAGGGTGTATATACAAGTAACGTATAATAAAAATAATAATATAATTATACAGTATATTAATTAACGTAATCAATTCTTTAAAACTATTGTCAGTATTTAAAAAATACTAATAATAAATAGGGTCGCAAATTATAATTTTTTTATATTATAATAAAGAAGTAAATTAAGATTTTCAAGAAAAAGAATAACTTTTGTCTATATCTTTGTTTGTTGTTTCTTTTTTGGCGAAATATTTTTTATTGTTTGGAAATTAAAAAACACACAGATTTTAAGAACGACAATTAACATACGGAGTAATAAAAAAAAGTAAAAATTAAAATAAATTAAGGTAGCTAGTAATTTACTTACTTTTTCTTGCTGCTCCATCTGCATATTGGACGTAGTACGCGGCTAACTGTAAAGAAAAATAGTGAATTTATAGAAACAATGAAAAAAAATATGTGCTGTAAAAAGGTCAAATTAAAAGTAGTCATAACGGGCGAGCTTGTATATATACGTATATTAATTAACGTGGCAGGATTTGGTATTCCTTTCCATTGTTTATGTCTATCCGAATAGGGGACAGTTGTCACCTATACGTATGTATGTATGAAGAGTTATATGAATGTATAATTTGCCTCACGTGTGTGGTGCCTGAGGTAAGTAATCCTATAGTTTTTGGTTTATTTATCTGAGACAAGCACTGTAAAATTTTATATATTGTATCTATTGGTGAAAACTTAAATGTGATTTCACTGTTGTTATCTTGTAATTGGTTATTTTTTATGTAAATACATAAGCCTTGGTTTTCCTTTTACAAATAAATAAATATATAAAATGCATCATTATTAATTAATTATTATTTATTTATCGTAATGTATATTAAAAAACAACACTTGATAAGTTTATATAGTACAACCGACCGTAGAGATTAGAACAAGAGGTCTACAATGAAATGAAAATCTGAATTTTTCGATTCAATTTCGTGTTTTTGTTGATACCAAAATCGGTCCAGTAAACGGAGCCTAATATTTCGTTCGTCATAAATCCTACCATAAAAGTCCAAAGAAACGATATTTTAACATTTTTAATATTTTTAAACAAGATGTGTCATGTATTTTTAACATCAAATTTGTGTTTCGTATGTCCCATAAACTTCGAAAAATATTGATGGTAGACCCTCAGTTTCATTTCAGTTGATCGCCTTCATAGATCATTTTTTTTTTTACAACACAGGGGGCAAACGAGCATGCGGCTCACCTGATGGTAAGTGACTACCGCCGCCCATGATCACCCACAACACCAGCGGCATTGCAGGTGTGCAGGTGCAGATCATGTTATTAATTTGTTCGTTCAAGACGGTGTGATCAGACATCGTGCTAATATAAAAAATAATACAATATATTAATTTATGTTATCTACATATTTAAAGTATTTAGTTCTCTCGATATGAAACTTTTTAGCATGATTATAGAATATTTCTTTGTAAACCCGAAGGAAATATTTTTTTGTTGTCTACCATAAAACACGGCTGGCCAGAACGTGACTAGTTGTTATAATGTGGCCGGTATATTATTATATTTAGATATACGCTATGAATACAAATCGTATGTTATTGTCTACAATAGACAATATAATTTGCTTGGGGTTCCCCTGCTTGCTGGTTTATATGTTTTTTTTTTTGTTTTTGTTTCATTTTTATAATTAATGCACAAACTACGATACGGTCACAGTTTTATATCGTATTGAAAACACCGAGATTTTGTTTTACAATAAAGAAAATCAACATCAATTGTAATAATATTTATATAGAATCAGTACGGGGGTAAACATTTTTGATTAAAAAAGTATCATAAAAATTGATCAATAGGCGTATTGTATGAAAATGAAGTTTGTAAGTTTTTGATCTAAAAAAAAAAAAAAAGAAATACACTCGTGACGAAATTAATATTGATGTGTAAGTTGCCAAAGCCATAACTTTTAAAGAAATATAAAGACTAGGTATTAGTAAAAGAAAAAAAAAAGATTATCTTTCTCTTCGGTCTGATGTAAAATTCTAGTAGGAAGTATATTTTTCGATTTCAATTAAATAACTTTCAGAATAAAGATATTTATTTATTTAACACTTTATTGCACCAATGCACAAGGACTTGTTGAAGATTTAAAAAATACAGTATAGTACTACATATTGATATATAATATATATATATATTATAATTGGTTATTTTTTATGTAAATACATAAGCCTTGGTTTTCCTTTTACAAATAAATAAATATATAAAATGCATCATTATTAATTAATTATTATTTATTTATCGTAATGTATATTAAAAAACAACACTTGATAAGTTTATATAGTACAACCGACCGTAGAGATTAGAACAAGAGGTCTACAATGAAATGAAAATCTGAATTTTTCGATTCAATTTCGTGTTTTTGTTGATACCAAAATCGGTCCAGTAAACGGAGCCTAATATTTCGTTCGTCATAAATCCTACCATAAAAGTCCAAAGAAACGATATTTTAACATTTTTAATATTTTTAAACAAGATGTGTCATGTATTTTTAACATCAAATTTGTGTTTCGTATGTCCCATAAACTTCGAAAAATATTGATGGTAGACCCTCAGTTTCATTTCAGTTGATCGCCTTCATAGATCATTTTTTTTTTACAACACAGGGGGCAAACGAGCATGCGGCTCACCTGATGGTAAGTGACTACCGCCGCCCATGATCACCCACAACACCAGCGGCATTGCAGGTGTGCAGGTGCAGATCATGTTATTAATTTGTTTGTTCAAGACGGTGTGATCAGATATCGTGCTAATATAAACAATAATACAATATAGTAACTTATGTTATCTACATATTTAAAGTATTTAGTTCTCTCGATATGAAACTTTTTAGCATGATTATAGAATATTTCTTTGTAAACCCGAAGGAAATATTTTTTTGTTGTCTACCATAAAACACGGCTGGCCAGAACGTGACTAGTTGTAATAATGTGGCCAGTATATTATTATATTTAGATATACGCTATGAATACAAATCGTATGTTATTCTACAACTACTACAATAGACAATATAATTTGCTTGGGGTTCCCCTGCTTGCTGGTTTATATGTTTTTTTTTTTGTTTTTGTTTCATTTTTATAATTAATGCACAAACTACGATACGGTCACAGTTTTATATCGTATTGAAAACACCGAGATTTTGTTTTACAATAAAGAAAATCAACATCAATTGTAATAATATTTATATAGAATCAGTACGGGGGTAAACATTTTTGATTAAAAAAGTATCATAAAAATTGATCAATAGGCGTATTGTATGAAAATGAAGTTTGTAAGTTTTTGATCTAAAAAAAAAAAAAAAGAAATACACTCGTGACGAAATTAATATTGATGTGTAAGTTGCCAAAGCCATAACTTTTAAAGAAATATAAAGACTAGGTATTAGTAAAAGAAAAAAAAAAGATTATCTTTCTCTTCGGTCTGATGTAAAATTTTAGTAGGAAGTATATTTTTCGATTTCAATTAAATAACTTTCAGAATAGAGATATTTATTTATTTAACACTTTATTGCACCAATGCACAAGGACTTGTTGAAGATTTAAAAAATACAGTATAGTACTACATATTGATATATAATATATATATATAATATATATATATATATATATATATATATATATATATATATATATATATATATATATATATATATATATATTTAAAAATATTAAACGAGCTTAATTGGTAGATCGAAATACATAGAAAAATATATTTATATACAATTATATATGTTAATAAATAAAAAGCATGCAATATGATAGACATTAGGTATAAGAAATAATTAATATGCTTCATTTTGCCAACAAACCGCTTGTTAAGTTTTATTTTTGAATAACCTTCATTTTGAAAAAAAAAAAAATTAAAAAACATCATGTATTTACCATACACTACTACTGGTAATAGTCTGTTGATATCTGAATCTATTTTATGGTCGGAATAAGTGTTACTTTGTTTACATTGAAGCAGACTATAATACCTAGATACCTGCAGAAAAACGCGCGTGTGAATTAGACTTTATTCCCATTAGCAAGTACATTTTCTAATACTCAGATGCAGTTTCTCATAATTTCATGTCAGTCTCAGATTATGATCAGCGGATATGACTTTCTTACTGCATTAGAGTTGACATTGAATATAAATAACTATGTTTTCTAGAATCACAGTGCATTTAGTGAAATCTTAGAAGGAGAGATTTTGTTCACAGCATACTAAGTATGCTGGGTCGAGATCTCTTTGTAGAAAGTAGACCGGTCGTTGTTTTATGCAAAGACCACATATATTTAGATGGAGTATCGAATGAACATCTTAAACGGGTAATTTATGAAACAAAGAAATTATTTAGAATACTGAAAAATTCAACTAAAGGTATTTCTGTAGGCCTTTTTGGAACTAAAAGCGATGCAATTAATGCAAACGTGTCTTTTACACATTGAAAAAGGAACAGTGATCGACCCTTACTAAGGTTATCTTCACCGACGCCAGCTGTGTCGAGCGCGTGTAAGTAACAGTTAATTGCCTTTTATAGTCACGTTACTTATCAGTCTTAGGGTTGAATAGTCCAGGAAATAAAATATTTGAGACCATTGTTGCCATATTCACAATAAACAATTGCTATTTATTTCGTCACCATTAAAGATAGATATCCTTTATTGTTTCCACCAAAAGATTAAAATAGTAAACTTATTGTAAATATAAAAAATGTCAAGAAATAATCATAACGAGAAAAAAATGGTCGACCTAAAGGATATATCAAATTTGAGATTATAAAGCAAACTGTTTTTCTTTTACCCTCTGTATATAAAATAACAGTTGTTATTATACATATTTAATCAATACATAATATATACTTTAAAATCAAGAGCACAGTTTTTCATGCGCGTTGCCTCAAACCTCAAAGGAAAAGCCACGGCAAAGAGCTTATTATATAACCTGACTATCTATGGTATATATATATATATATATATAATGTACCATTGGGACCATATCGAAAAACTCCTCATACTATTCATTATACAAGCGGTAGAACACACAAAGAGGAACAAGTCTCGTTTTAGTTTGCTTAGTCAAAGAGGAAAACTTTTAATAATAAAACTAAAGCTACAGAGCTCAGGTAATTGTCATCTCGTATGGACTCTAAAGTAAATATTTATCGTATATTGTACTATCTTGTTTTTAAAGGTCGTTTGTACCGGCAAACAGCTATAGAGATATTGTTTCGTTTAATTTTTATCTCAATTCAGAAGTGTATTAAGTAGATGTAAATTTTACGATATATATATATATATATATATATATATATATATATATATATATATATATATATATATATATATATATATATATATATATATATATATATAGATTATTTTATTTGAATAGATTTCAAAAATTAAAGATTTTTAATAAATAAAATTCAGTAAATATTTTATAGACACATTTTAGACTGAAAAATATAATATTTGAATTTAGAATGCGGAATTATGGGACTTGCTTTGTTTCAAATAGATTTTTGCTCAACGAAGCAAAATGATAGCTTAATTAAATGAAGGAAACTTACTGATTGCTAAATTACAATTTCCAAATAAATAACTATATATTTTAATAATATTTTAAAATATGTAAAAACATGTTTGTTTTTAATGGTTGAAAATGGAATGGTAACTCCACCTACACTATCGATGTACGCTGGTGGAATACCGGTGAGGGACGATATGAGAGGATGAAGACAGGTCAGTTAGGCTTTTGAGAAGAATTCAACAAGAATTAACCATGATATTTTCAAGGGAAACCGCGTGGACATTACTGACAATCTTTTCACTTTAAGAATATACTAAATCCTTCAGTTCGTGTCTAGTTGCTATAACTTTTTTATACCTAGTGAGAGTTTGTCCATTACATTTTATTAGGGGTCTACTAATAATTTTATTTTCATGCTATGTTCTTTAGAGAATAGGCAGACAGAATTGAGTTCTATAACTTCTAACTTACACCACCTTCTGTATTTAATTAGTTTTCTTATTTATGCATATTAGTATCGGATATTTTAGATTTCTCCCTTAGATAGTATTTAAATAGCCTATCTGATTAAGATAGGTCACTGTATATTTATATTTATATTTAGACACAAGCTACTCACAATAATTTATATTGTAATTCAAGTTATAACTAACTAATAAACGTGTTAATGAACGATAGAAACTGGTTTTGTTTACATAATATGACAGTATTTATACTTACATAACTTTGTAAGTGATCACAATATCAATTAAAAAAAACCGACTTCAAATGTGGCAGAACCAGTTTTGATTTAAAAACTAAACAGCTGAAGTGATTTTGTTAAAATTTCTATGGGACTAATTTGTAAGTATATCCTTTTGGATAAAAGGAATTTTCCGGAAAAGGAAATCGGTTTACAACTGACGGAGTTATGAGGTAACAAATATATATATATATATATATAAAAAAACAGATAATATCGTTGTTTATCACTTAGAAATATAAAGATCGTTTGTGTATATAATATATTCTTGTCTCATCATCATCATTTTTGCCATTATTCGTCCACTGCTGGACAAAAGCCTTCCCCATAGATTGCCTATATTCTTGTCTATATTCTATTTATTTAAATTCTACCTATTTAGAGAAAAATAGGTTCTTGTCCGCTACTTCGTATGCTCTGATTTTGGAAGTAGAAAAACCGATAATTGAATCGCTTCTAGATGATGTATTTAGATGAAACATAAACTAGATTTTAAGTTAGACCTTTAGTAATCGCAACTATGAAATATACGAGTAGAGAGACAACATTTCAAAAGTATGGTTTTGCCATTTATTGGTCTTAAAGTCCCCTCATAATATATTTTTTTAATATTTTCCATGTACAGATATCGACTGGTTACAATTTTATTATATTAGTAAGATTGTTAACTAAATTAACTAATGATCAACTACAAAATATTTACGTTCTGTCCGTTATAGGATGATGTTAATGACAGCTGATTAAATCGTCGACTAATTACTAAAAGACACTTAGAGAGGATCTTTTCAGTAATGTTTCCTAATTTTTTAAATATTAATACCTATGTTTTCAATAAAAAATTTACCCTGTCAAAATATAAATTACCCAATAGTTTTATTCGACACCATAAATCTTACTAAATACACTCCTTGTACAGTAACAATTGTCATCATCAAATGCCATTAATCATCAGTACCATGCTTTGACGCCATATACAAATTCAAATCATCTTTATTCAAATACACTGATTAAGAACCTGTGGTCCTTATAATAATGGTATGTAATCATGCAATGTAAAAGTGATTCGAATGGTTTCGCAGATTAGCATGAACGAACGTCTTTTTTATATTTTACTAGATGACCCGGAGAAATTCGTGTTACAACGCCATCTAGTACAAATAATCTTAAGAAGCCATTTTCATACAAAATTAATTATTTTATTTTTTTTTATTTTTCGGCTTAATTTTAAGGTTATAAAAAAAATCTATATATTTATTAATAGTTTTTATCTTTTAAACCACCCCTGTATTATAATGAACAAAATAAAAAAGAAATATTAAAATCGATCAAGCCGTTTTCGAGTTTTAGTCAGACTAATGCAACAGCAATAGACTTTTATATATACAGATGAAAAATAAAAACAAAAAATATTTTTTTGTCTACGTACAACATCACTAAATTTTATTATTTCCGCCGTTATGATGTATCTAAAGATTTCACTCGATGTTCATAATTGAACGGGATTCCCGTGCTGTCTAAAATTGGATAATTGCTTCACCTACTGAATCCATAATTACGGTTTACTCATTCTTTGTTCTCGTATATTTAGTAAACAAAATTAGTCAAATTGTAATATATAGTTTTTTAGGAATTTTATTCACATACATTATATGCATAAATGATAATTTTATTATCATTCAAGGTATTTTATAATAAACAAACAAGTGTACAAAAAATAAATTCTGTTCTCTGTATAATATTAGTAAAGACTACTCGTGTGAGGGTGTCGCCCTTTGGTGACAAGAGTTTTTGTGCCACTTTTGATGTACATGACAAAAATCACAAAAAGAACAATACATATATATCATAATTAAATTTGTATATTCATAATAGCCCTTGTAGTTATTCATATGTATATTATTTAAAATAAAATATATTTATTAATCAATTAAGAAGGGAAAGATTCAGCTCACTACATTAGCAAACTATTCATTGATGTCAGTCAAAAGGCACTAAAGCCAGTGACCCAAGGTAGTCGCCCCGGTGTTGAAGTCGAGGCAAAGGCAAAGGCGATACTCTTTTATGCCTATGGTCCACATATTACTGTTCATGTTTAAAGGCGACGGTTACCACTTTCCATCAGGTGGGTCATCCGCTTGTTTGTCATTCTAAGTTGCTTAAAAAAATAGCTGGTCTCGAGGCCCCACTTGAGCCTTCCTCGGAGGGCTAAGAAAATCTGCGTAGTATGTACACGAAGGCTTCTTACATGGATCGGTGGACGACTTTATACGCCTTCCAAATTATGACACAAATGATAATAGTTTTTAAATGATCCGAATATAAATTTCAAAATTCTATATTTTAGGCTGGGATTCGATCGACCGCTGGACCATAGTTAAATGCCGTATCTTACCGCCCAGTATTATATATTCATCTTGATGTATTAAATAATAATAATTCAAATATAACTTACACAAAAAACGAAAATTTCCGTAAACATTGTACGGTTCTCACAATATCGCTACAGAATAAACACACGCGACAATGTATTTAGCATAGAGAGCACGACCTCTCTCGACGGGCGACACCTGCTGACTGAGTTATTTCACAGATTAATTGAATATAAAAGATGTTTCATGCCGTGGATCGACGTGTATGTTATTGTATGTGATATTTGAAGGAACCAGTGATGACGCGGTATGACCAATGTGTGGAACCGCCATAAAATGGCACGCGCGCGACTGTGTAAGTATGACGATGTAGGTCAAACCGCAAAAATATTTCGCAATTGTTTCTCAAGTTATATTTTTTTACTAGCGACACGTCCCGATTTCGCTCGAATAGATAGGTAGAAGAGAGAAAATAAGAATAGATAGTAGAAGAGAAGAGGTAGTCTTTTTCTCTTTGAAAAAAAAAAAAATATATATATATATATATATATATATATATATATATATATATATATATATATATATATATATATATATATATATAGTCATATCAATAAGTGTAAGAACTTTTAAAATCGGTTTAGTATTTTTTTAACATATCCACTACAAATAAACAAATAATCAAATATTATTATTATGGTAAATATAGATGATTATAGTATTTTACTTATCTTTAAAGTACTAATAAATAAAGTTGTTGTTTAAGCATGTTCTTTTTTTTTATACAACTTAGAATGGCAAACAAGCTGACGGCCCACCTGATGGAAAGCGGTAACCGTCGCCTATAGACATGAGCAGTACCATGGACATAACAGAGTATACAGTTTTGCCCATGATACCCCTCATGCGTTGCCATTCCTGAGGACTCAGGTGTTATTCCTCTGTACACCATATCCTACACTTCAAACCGAAACACAGCCATGCAACTAATTATAATAGTCGATATATTTTTTATAGATGGTTTTGTTACCTCATACTTATCTTTTAAGTAAAATAAATAAAGTTGTTGTTTAAATAAAATCTTTTTTACTTTTTCTAAGTTCTGTTACGGATTTTGATATCAAATCAGTTTAGCAGTTTACGTTATTTTAAAAATCCTCAAAATAGGTATTGTATTAAAGAATAATTTTAGTGGAAACAATCTTAAACTGGATCGCTTATAATAACATAAAGATATTGTAATATTTTGTGTTAATCAGGTAAATTTTGATGCAGATTTTACATTTTGTTCCATTTCAATAGAACTTACCAGAGGGAATAAAAAGACGATTGCTTGAACCTACTGTATTCGTGTTTCAACCGTGAAGACAGTTGTGTTTGCATTAAAACTGACATAATTAATTATATAGACTTATATGTGTAATAAAGGTAATATTATTCAATATTTATAGCTATACTTACTACGTTTTAGAATATTCTAAAATTAACTGTTTGATATAATTTTTCAATGTAAATAGGCGACTTTAAAATTTTCCATCAATCTTTCAGTTTTTATTCTAAGTTCAATAAAAAAAAAACACTTAATAAAAAAAAGTAAATAATGGAAATGTAAATAGAGGATTTATCCGACCATACAACAGTTTGCTGATGTCTAATTCTATTACAAATGACAATTCGATTGAATGTTACAATTTTTACAAATTTTATTTAAAGAGAGTTTCTGTATGAATTTCAATTTAAATAATAATATAATTTTATATATAATATAAGATATATTTGTGATTCTCACAGAGCATTTAAGTATTATTTGGATTGAATACAAAATAACGATAAAGAATAGATGTGTGTCTCGTATGACGTATTGCCTTTATTCTATTTTCATAGGAAATCCCAGTTATTTATTGTTACAATCATTATCTTCATGTCAGCCAGGCTAAGGAACATAGACCTCGTGACGGGTGGAGGGGGGGGGGTATACTGGATTCTTGTTCTGTTTTATTTATTTTTTTCTTTTATTCATTGTTTTTATACTTGTTTATTTTAGTTTTTGTATTGTTTTCTTTTATTTTTTATGTAATATTTACATGAATATACATATTTGATAATGAAACGGTGCCCCGTGTAGGTGCAAACTGAAAATCAGCGCTGAACGAACATCAGTCCAGCAAAAGCTGAGTTTGTACCTATCGCCAGGTGCATACGATTAATGGACAATATATTGATTAATTAATATATATATACATTATAATTTGTGAAGAATGGCAATAAATTTTATTATTATTATTATTATTATTATTTGTTGGAACAAAACGTGTTAATACATAAAAATTTGCTTTAATGTACAAATACTAATGGGTTGCATATTCATTTTCAATAAAAAATATATTTATTTGTATTGAGATAGATAAACAGAGGAAAGATCATATAATCGCTTTCACGCTTTAAAAATCAACTTCCAGCAGCAGTATTGTAGAACTGATATGACATCTCAACCTCCAAAAAATCTACACCACTCTAATCACTTAGTTGTATGAAATGCACTTTACGACCTATTCCCATACTGACAATATATATATAAAAGAACTAGTAAAAATCGGTCGAGACGATTCGGAGCAGTTCGACCACATATATCGTGACACGAGATTTTTATATATAAGATTCAAAAGAAATATCCTGGTATTATTTATTTTCATCCATCCAAACACTAGAGTTGGGGGATAGGGGCTGTTAGTAATGGAGACTGAGAATCCCATTTCTAGCAATATACCCAGCTAGGTCGACCTCCTCGCGGTTCTCTCTGGAAACTATCATGGTTATTTCTTATGAATTCATCATGATGGGCTAACTGGCCTGTTTTCGTTCTCATCTATTACCCTTCACTGGTGCTCTGCCAGCGTATCCCGTTAGCAAAGGATGGGTCATCATTCCATTTTCACCCATAAAAAAAAATTAATACGAGTATTCACCTACGAGAGGCAACAGTATATTATATTAATATAATTTAATATTGCGTAATTTCTATATGGTTACGCATAACAATAACTCATGTTATTATAATGTTATTACATATATATTATATATATATATATATATATATATATATATATATATATATATATATATATATATATATATATATATATATATATATATATATATATATATATATATATATATATATATATATATATATTTATATTTATAATATAGGGAATATTATAAAAAAAAAACTATTCATCAAACAATCAAGGTCAAACCATTAATCCAATTTGTGATAAATTTGATGTGTGAGAAATTTGTGAAAATATAATAAATTTAATTGTTTTAATAATCAAACCGTGAATGCGTGAATCCTTTTTTGGTTATTACAAGATAAAGTCTGTTGCTGAGTCATACATAAATTACAAAACATATCAAAATCATCTTTTATTTTCGCATATATCGTCATAGTCGTAGAATACTGACGGATCTGACCAAGATTACATATAAAGATCTTACATAAATGAAATATGAAACAAGATCTCAATTAAATTATTTTATAATGCTATTATTTCAAATACAAACTAAATCACTAACAGTGCTACTGGGAGAATTTAGTTTCATATAATTTTATTTAAAATCATGGCTTATTTTGTGTGTTTCAAGGATGTATTTCGGTTTGAATGGTGGGATATGGCAATAAAATTACAGATCAATTATTTTTTTTATACAACTTAGAATGGCAAACAAGCTGACGGTCCACCTGATGGAATGTGGTAACCGTTGCCTATAGACATGAGCCGTACCATGGACATAACACAGTATACTGTTTCGCCCATGATACTACCCATGCGTTGCCATTCCTGAGGACTCAGGTGTTATTCCTCTGTACCCAGTAAATTCACGCCTCAATTACAAGATAATTATAAGATTACAAATCATTATAAATTAAAAACACTGTAATTTAAATAAGAACAAAAGCTTTTATTAGAAATATTTTAAAAGTATAACACTTCATAGTCTCCTTTAATTTTTAATGTGAAGAATGAAATTGTTTCACTGTATAAATAATTTTGCGGAACCCTGGTTACTTTTTTACAGAACCCACTTGAGGAATCGCTGCTTTATAGGACTAGACCATGTGTTTACACGATGACGTTTGTCACCGTAATCAGTCTGCGGTTTCCACTATGCGCACATGGGAATATAATTGTATACGTCATAAATGTCTATCAGAACAATGTCATCAAATTTCTAAGTAAATAAACGCAGAGTATGTCGGAAAATTATAAATTGTTTCCTCGTAAATCATCTGGGTCGCTAGACAGATTTATAGTGTTAAATATAGGTATAAAAATTTAAGAACCAAACTTTAATAAAAAATAATTAAGACACATAATTAAAGATCGTATTCCACAAGCCAAAAACCGTCTTCAATTTTTTTTTATACAACTTAGAATGGCAAACAAGCTGTCGGCCCACCTGATGAAAAGTGGCAACCGTCACCTATGACAAAATCAGTTATTTTAATTTATAAACTAAACTTTTGAACCGATTTTGATAAAATTTCTATGAGATTAAACTGTAAGTATCTCTTTTCAGATAAAAAAAGAATTTTCCATATTGGTCTAGAACCGACGGAGTTATGAGGTAACAAATATAAAAAAAAGTAAAAACACCGCATTGAGAATCTCCTTATTTCTGAAGTCGGTTAAAAATAGCAATATTCCCAAACAAAGACGGCCTCGAGATGTTGAAGAAAAGAGCACATTCCTTTTTAAAAGGGACTCATGAGTGAGCATTTACAATTAGGTGAACCGTTAATTGGCGCATGATTTTTTTTATAACACGGGGGGCAAACGAGTGTGCAGTTTACCTGATGGTAAGTGACTATCACCGTCCATGAGTACCCACAGCAGAAGAATTGCAAGTATGCTGCTAGACTGTTATAAAGGAATGTACACTTTCTTATCTTGAAGGTTATGTGATATAAAAAAATGTGGTAACACTAAAATAAATATTGGTCTTCTGGTCTTGCTAATGTCTATGGATCGCGGTCATGATTTACTATCAGATAATTTACACATGGACAAATAATTTACGTGTTTTGGTAAATACATTAATTATCTAGAAGAGATAAAACCTCGCTGCCAAAATATTTTAAAATTTACGTTAGAAATTTGCAGCGAATTCTAGGAAAGGGAAAGCATTTAGACTGTAGTGCTATAAATTTTTTATAGAAGCGCTAAAGCTCTTTTCCAGACAACATTTGGGTAGAGGAGATATAGTACTACCGCCCACTAGATGGAGTGACGATCTGAAATGCATTGCAGGTAGTCAGTGAATGCAGACAGCTCAGGACTGTTCTTTATGGTAATCTATGGGGAAGGTCTATGTACAGCAGTAGACGGATATGGTTGAGATGTTGGTGAAATGACCTGTGAATGACCTGTAAGGTAAAAATATTTGTTTTTATGCCTAAATCATTAAAACGCATTATATTTTTAGCATAAAGTCGTATTGGCAACGACGACGACAGGTCATGTTAACGTAATGTAATGGTAACCACCTGCACTAACGGTATACGCTGGCAGGGCACCAGTGAGGGGTGATAGGTGAGGATGAAGGTAGGTTAGTTAGCCCATCGTGATGCATACACCTGGAATTCAGCACGATGGTTTCCAGGGGGAAACACGTGCAGGTCGACCTAATAGGGCATATTGCTAGCAACGGGCATGTTGGTAGTCCATATTACCAATAATCCCATCCCCACTAGGAGGATTTAGGCGAGGGCCTCGGGGCGGACTCCTTTGCCTCAGCTTCAACTTCGGGGGCGAAAGTTGTATTGGTAACTGAATCATGCGCCTTACTAGTTTTATAAGCAAAGTTTCTCATTTGTAATGATTTGCTTCACCTATACCTGTATTTTATAAAACCAGACTTTGCACAAAAGTCGATTGCTTGGGTACCTCTGTCCGATTCGTGTTTCTACCGTGAAGCAGTTGTGTTTGCATGGCTGTTATTCGGTTTGAAGGGTGGGATATGGCGTAAATTTACAGGGTACAGAGGAATAACACCTGACTCCTCAGGAATAGCAACGCATGGGGAGTATCATGGGCGAAACAGTACACTCTGTTATGTCCGTGGTACTGCTCATGTCTATAGGTGACGGTTACCACTATTATGGGTGAAACAGTACACTCTATTATGTCCGTGGTAGTGCTCATGTTTATAGGCGACAGTTACCACGTTCTATCAGGTGGGCCGTCAGCTTGTTTGTCATTCTAAGTTGTGTAAAAAATAAAAAAAAAAAAAATAAAAAAATGAAGTTTATATATTTTTTTTAATAGTTGATAATGAAATGGCAGCCCCGCCCGCGCTAACGATATATGCTGTCGGAGCACCATTGAAGTATGATAAGTGAAAATGAAAGGACTAACTGACTGCCTGACGTGCAGTTAGCCCATCGTGATAAATACATCTGGAATTCAGCACGATAGTTTCCAGGGGAGATAAAATGGAGGTTCGCAAGTTCCATTGCTAGCAATATACCCTATTATATTGCTAGCAATGGAACTGGTAGTGCTCATTACTAACAATCCCTTTCCCCCCTATGAATTTTATATTAAGAGATAATAGGTACATTTTTAAAGGATGAAAATGGAATAGAAAAGTTTAAGCTTGTGAGGGGATCAGTGAAGAGAAGATGAAGTCAGTTGTTCGTTCGTTCACGAGGCAGTAATTATGATGACCACCAAGTAGAATCTGATGGAGATCAGCGTGATATGGTATATTCCTAGCAATAAAGCCACGCTAGATCCCGTTGAAAATAATCTCTTTTCTCAGTTAATGATTGAGAATACAAATAATGTATTATGGAATATTTTTTATTCTAGTAAACTAAATTATTATCGCTGTGCAGGTCCCGGTATAGTATAGGCCACCCCGTTCTTACCGGTGGTTGTCGTAAGTGGCGACTAAGGGAGCTCATGATGGAGGGATGGGCAGCAGCGTCCCTCTTAAAACATTACCAAAAGTCAAACAGTTTCCAATCCGTCTGCCAAGCGTGACAACTACTGGTAATCCCCCCCCCCTCCTAACGGGAAAGGCTATGTTCAGCAGTGAACAGATAACGGTTGATACAATAAACTTATTTATAAGTATTTTTGAATTAGTCATTATTTTATGATTCTATCACCTCTTTGGAATGTAATTTAAGCTGAGACACAAGAATTCAAATTCTCGATTTATTTCAATTGTAAGTAAATATTACAAATTTTAAATTTGTTTAAATACACACTACAAAATGTTACTGCAACGTAGGTGTCATAATTTAATTATATTCAATTCTACTGCTTAATATTTATACAATAGATTGTATATACAATATGTAATACAATAGATAGATAGACTTAAAAGTCGATTGCTTGGGTACCTCTGTTCCATTCGTGTTTCTACCGTGAAGCAGTTATGTTTGCATGGCTGTGTTTCAGTTTGAAGGGTGAGATATGGCGTGAATTTACAGGGTACAGAGGAATAACATCTGAGTCCTCAGGAATGGCAACGCATGTGGGGTATCATGAGCGAAACAGTATGCTCTGTTATGTCCGTGGTACTGCTCATGTCTATAGGCGACGGTTACCACTTTCCATCAGGTGGGCCGTCAGCTTGTTTGCCATTCTAAGTTGTATAAAAAAAGGCAGTATTGTTATTTTTATTAAATTAATTGACTAGTATTCAATTTCCTCATAAGGAGCGGTACGGAGCTACTTGCATTTATTAATATCTACTATTACAATGATGTAACATGTTGAGGTCACTGCTCTATACAGAGAGAGGTGACATTACGTTTACCTGTACGAGGAAATATATGAAAGCTTTCTTGCCTTATCGGACTTTGGTTATTTGTGTCATATGTGGTAATATTACTTTTTTTTTGATGGGTGAAAATGGTATGATAACCCCGCCCGCGCTAACGGGATACGCTGGCGGAGCACCAGTGAAGGGTGATAGATGAGAATGAAAACAGGCCAGTTAGCCCATCATGATAAATTCATCAGGAATTCACCATGATAGTTTCCAGGGGGAACCGCGAGGAGGTTGACCTGGTTGGGTATATTGCTAGCAATAGGATACTCAGTCTCCATTACTAACAATCCCTTTCCCCCCGTGGTAATACTACTGCTTCCTGCTTCAGCCTATATCGGTCACTTTGACACTTCTACAGGTATCGGTATTTTCTTTTCGTGTACTGAAATTTTGAGCTTAGCTTTTTTAATATAATATTTTATGAAATTTACTATAATACTTATAAAAGAGGATTCATACAGAATAATATAACGTGTATGGCAGATAAAGTGTTAATATATGTCGAAAGTATTTTTTTAAATATACTAATTTCCGAGCACATGTACGTATGTATAATAAAATTTTAACTAGACGGTTATACATAAGAGATAGTTAAGAAAATATACGAGTTGTTTTCATAAGAGCAATAGAAACCATAACAATAACTTTACTATGTATAATTATGTCACATATTTTTCATCACATCTGCCCTTCATCCGTTTTCTGTTTTTACCTAATTAGGTTAGCTGGTAGAGAATGCCATATGGCATTAAACTCGCCATTTGTACAGTTTTATTGTGCAATAAAGAATAAATAAATAACTTTTAATATATTTTTTTTCTATCTATCTAAATGTTTGTTATAGGTATCACGCAAAAACTACAACACCATATTGGATTAGGTTTTTACATTATTGTACCAAAATGTTGAAGTAAAAACTGGTATGTGTGAGAAATCTGTTTTATTGATTATCTTATTTCTAAAATCCATATATACGAATTCACATGTCAAAAGTTTATTACTCTTGTAATAATATAATATTAAATTAATATAATTTATGTCCTATTTCAGTATTCACGAGTGGAAATATGAATCATATTAATTATTATACCATGCCAGTGTTTTACGCTGTATTTTTATAGAAAAAAGTACCATTTGTGATAAACTGGGAAATAATGAAGACTATTAATAATTATTAATAATTTTATTATGAGTATTACCTTCAATTGAATATATAGTGAATTATCCATTGAATTACGTAATTGTAAATCAATATTACCAATTTATATAACAGGAAAATCATAATTTTATATAAATTGTGAGATTCCAATAAAGGGGATTCATTTTGCATCCGCGCGTAGTGGAAACAATTATTATTTTAATTAAAAATAACAGCGAAGTTAAATAATTAAAATAGAATTAAAAATCTTTAATATAAAAAATACGTTTTTTTTGTCGTGATTTTGTTGTGTTGTGACGTAGTTTTTTATTTAGTATGTTTATTAAAATGTTATTTATATCGGCTTTATTAATTTTAACTGTAAATATGTTATACTTCTTTCGTATTTCGAAATTACTTCATATATTTAAATATTTTTTGTGTATAATTAATGAAGTGCGTGCTTTTTTCAGTTGTCGATCGTTGGAGCGAATTTCACTAATGATACAGGTATGACATTCTATTTATATATTGTACATAGTTTTAGTTATTTCCACAGCTTTGTTCCCATCAACTAATGTAAAAATATTTATATATTAGTCAAGGGTATGGGCTCGTGTAGTCCCGGTATAGAATACACCACCCCTTCCTTTTCCGTAGGTGTCGTAAGAGACGACTAAGGGTGACCGAGGTATGGACAGCAGCGTCCTTCTTAAAACATCTCCAAAGCTCAACTGCGGTTGCCAATCCGCCTGCCAAGCGTGGTAACTACTGGCAAATCAACCCTAGAGGGAGGCTTATGTTCAGCAGCGGACAATTAAAGGCTGATGTGATGATGATGATGATTTATAATATATGTTAGAAAATTTTTTACTATGTGGTCCCAGCATAGAATGGGCCACTATTTTCTCTCCTATGTATCTCGTAAGACGTGACTAAGGGAACTTAATGATCAAGAATTGGATTGCAACTTAAAACATGACTAAAAGTCTAAAAGTGGCTGCTAATCTGTCTTTTGGGTTTTGCCCCTAATATATCTAATATATTTTCCAAAATGGGATGGTCTATGTCCAGCAGTGGGCAGATAATGCATGTCTAATGATGATAAAGTACAATTTTGGTAATTAAATTATTTTTATTATGTTATATCGGAAAAATAATCTGAATAAAAAATATCTCGTTTCAGAAACAGGTATTATATTTCCACCGGAATGTAAAAACCAAGACATTTGTTACGTAAAACCTAAAAATTATCCGGAACATAAATTCCACAGTGTTTTAAAGAAACTGGTGAGTATAGTAACTATTAATATAAATATTTTATAAGACTGCTTAGTCTGTTTACGTCGTTAGGTTATCATGGCAACGACATAGATGTATCACTGTTATGTCTATGGTACTCTCTATAGGCGACTGTTACCACTTTCCATCGGGTTGGTCGTCAGCTTATTAAAAAAGCTTTGAAAAATGCTGATGTTCAATAACAGTTCAATACAGTTACCATTTACAATCAGTTGAGTCATATGCTTATTCGCGATTACTATTGCATAAAAAAAGTTTGTAGGTAATGTAAAAATAAAAAAAAAATTACGACATTAATAAAAGTCTTTTCCTATAAATATATATTTTTTATTGCTAAAGAAAAGTAACTAAGTTATATCAGTTTTAAATATTTTTAGTAAATTTTTATATCGTAGAATTGAGAATGGCTCATAAAGGCCCACCTGATAGAAAGTGGTAACTGTCGCCTCTTTGAAAACATTGTGAAGCCACGATAGGACTTCAGAAAAATATCATGTTAAAATATTGTTAGTAATCAAAAATAAAAAAAAAAATTAATGTATTGGTTACTGTAAACTATGCATCTGGCGAAAACCTTCTTATGTGGGAAGCTATGTTCAGCAGTGGACAGTTAATAGCTGACAAAAACAATGGGAATGCAATCTCTTTCCCCCATCACAGACAAAGTTTTATTGGTGAAAATGGAATAATTTCCCCACCCGCCTATTAAATGTTGACGTGGCACTAATGAGACATCATTGGTGAGGACGAAAGCAGATCAGTTAATCCATCGTTATGAATTCAAAAAGAATTAATTATGGTAGTTTCTAAAGGAAACCGCGTGGAAGTCGACCTGACAGGGTGTATTGCTAGCAATGGAAAGGTAGTTACTAACAATCGTGTCCCATAATACAGACTTGTAGTTCGACCGTAAGCATAATTGCTTGACAGTCTCTTTTTATAATTAATATAATATTTTTTATATTAATATATTTATTTTTAGGACCTCAAGAGAATACCACGTTCAGCACCATATTATGCGTCAAACCACGGTTTTGTAGACGATGACTACGCTGATAAGAATTGTCGTGCTCAGTACGAAGTAAGTAAAGTTTAAAAATAATGGGATTAACCCTAGAACACTAAACTTATTTTTCAACGATTACTAACCTTCGTCGTTTCGACTTTTTTTATAAAATTTTATTGAATAAAATACTATTTCTTTTACAATATTTGTTTATTACAATCATTTGTTAACAAAAATATAACATTCTTATTTAATTAAATCACATATTTATTACATAATCAGTTTGTACTGAGACCATATGTTTCGCTCTAAATAAAGATATTTGTTTTTTTTTATGCTTATCTCGAAAAACTAGAAAAAAAACTTTGAAAAAGAAGTCAAATAATCAAAATTTAAACATCGAATCAACAAAAAAAGTAAAAATTTTGGTAAAAAACTATGAACTAAGACATTTGTGACACATATCAAGTTTGTATTCACCACACACTGATTTATTGCACTTGTAGCAACTAGTTTTCGTCATCCTTCGTTTTGCTGATGGGCATACGGCACAAATTTTTCTTTTTTTTTGCAATAGGATGACCTGTAGCTTCAGTTTCAAGTGTCAAACTCGATCTACTACTTCCTGGCATATTCAAAATTTGTGTAATCGAATCGCGCAGGCCAGTTTGAAGTGTGGGCACAAGTATACGTTTTTGCATATGTGGCTCGACTAACTTGTGATGCAAAATTTTTGTATTTTTCAGATTTTATTACAATCTCAGCATTAGTATAAGTGACAATTATATTTACTATATCATCTGTAATAAAAGACGAAAAGCAACGAAAAGGATCTAATTCATTTTTACACATACGAGTGCGGCCTGGTCTAATATGCACAATGTTTCTTGCGACTGTTCGGCCTTGTGACTTTGGCTTTAACGATGACCATTTGTGCTTATCTTTTCCGCGAAGTATGTTACGCGATGGTATAATAATCAATTCGTTAGGTTCTTGTGCCGAAGTACTTGGTATCTGTTCTTCAATTGATGCCAAGTCCAAAGACGAAATTTCATCCTCACTTACTGATACATAAGCCAGATCAACCTCGATGTGGTCTTCCTTCTCACTCTCTGACGAATTTTCTTGGTCACTATTATCTTCTAATAATAGTTGAAGAATCGTATCTAAAATAGAACAATACTACACATTACTTTTATGTTGTAAAAACTAAATAATAAACTTAAAATATTACAAACACAATAGTACAAAATATATCGTTATTACTAACCTTCGTCGATGCGACGAGTCATGGTTGCTGGTCCGGCGCTCACAAATCTCTTACACAAAAAACACTACCATGTATCGCGGGGGCACCGGGCCAACTAAGATTACACGAGAGTTGCAATGTATGCGATCGCGCATTCAAATTTTACGGCACCTGTTTCGAATTCGCGTCGTCGATTCGACGAAGCTTAGTGATCTAGGGTTAATATTGAAATTTATTTTTTTAATTATGCCTATCTTTTAATGTAATGTGTTTAAATTTATAGTTATGTGAAATTACTGTTTTGTTAACAATCATAAATTTATAATAATTTTTACTCAAATTTATTAGAAATTTAATTTATATTTTTCAAACCTTTTTGGAACCCTAAAAAGAATTACATAAATGGGTTTATAAATAACGGAGTTTTAAGTTAACAAACAACCGAAAAATCAAGAGTCTTCTCCTTTTTTCGAAGTCGGTTAAAAAATGAACGTTTATAAAAATGTTTGTTGCTCAATTATGCTAAATGTTGTCTCAACGGATTTCAATGAAATTTAGTACAAAGACTGATTAACACAGGGTGCTTCCTATCGTAATTCACTCAGTTGAAACTACGGGAAACAATATTATAAAAAAAACTAGCGGCCCGGTACGTGCTTCGCTACGCATAAAGTGAAATATTAATAAAAAAAATTAACATCAAATTCATTTATTTAAACAAAAAAATATTTTATTAATTGCTAGCTATTTTAATTGCACTGTCAACACTGAAAAAAGATTCAATTTGACAGCACAATTCCCATATTAAAAAAAGTTTGAATTTGACCCAAAAATCCCCATTAACAACATGATCCGCCATTTATTGAATTCATTTATTACAAAAAATGTGATAAATGAAGAACCGTTCGACCGATTTTGTGCAAACTTCACATAAACCATCTACTGAATAGTCCGAACAAAGCCTAAACATTTGGTTTGGATAGGTGAGCCCGTTCTTGAGATATAAGATTACAACGAAAAGTGGTATTAATTTTTATATATATATATATATATATATATATATATATATATATATATATATATATATATATATATATATATATATATATATATATATATATAGATTTAAAATTTGAATCCTTCTTGATAAGAAGTTACTTGAAAATTTAATAGATCTAATGGAGATATATCTGTAAATCTACTAGCAACTGTTAATAATCTTAATATTACGTATGTATTTATTTTTTAGATAAGAGTACCATTTGGAATCAAGGTTAGCAACATCATGAGACCTGTCATACAGATGCCATATTTTGAACAGAAAATACGATATGTAACATGCGAGTAAGTAAGAAATTAATTATTCTTTCACTAACATAATTCGAAGAACCGACAGTCGATGGGGGAGAAAAGTTAATGAGTGACGATCCCGTAAGGGCAAACGCAGTGTAGGGCGACTCCCCACTGGATGAAATGGTGACCTCAAATGCATTGCAGGGAGTCAGTGGATGCAAGTGGCTCAGGAATTATCCTTATGCCAGTCTATGGGAGAGGCCTATGTCCAGCAGTGGACAGATAATGAAAGCAGTGGACAAATATGTGGAAATAGGTATAACCAATGACTAGAGTAAATAGCGTCTTTTAGCTGTAAACTCTAATGAATCATTTGCTATTATTAAGAATTCTTCACAAGTGACTAGCTGTACTTGGCATGCGTTGCAATGCTACTTACATTACTACTTAATATTTGTTTCCTAGTTTATATAGAGAGAAAGCATGGAGTCTTAAAAATATGTCAATATTTAGTCAGATGAGTTAGCCGAATTGACATTTGCCTGACTCAATCTGTAACGTATGTTTGTCCAATAATCATGCAGTGTTTAGAGGGTTGACGTCAGACTGGCGGCTTTTTGTAAAACTGAAAGCCAATTCTTTTTGTAATATGTTTAAAAAAAACATATTACGCCGACCCTAAATAATAATTGGGATAACGATAGGAAGATCAATGAATGAATGAATGAATGAATGAATGAATGAATGAATGAATGAATGAATGAATGAATGAATGAATGAATGAATGAATGAATGAATGAATGAATAAATGAATGAATGAATGAATGAATGAATGAATGAATGAATGAATGAATGAATGAATGAATGAATGAATGAATGAATGAATGAATGAATGAATGAATGAATGAATGAATGAATGAATGAATGAATGAATGAATGAATGAATGAATGGTTTTTCTCTTCACAAAAGGTGGAATAAAGTAACAGATGATGATGATGCAGTGTTTATTTTATTCTTTCAAACATATTAGTAAGAATTTTATAGCATTTTTATCTTTCAGTTTAACATTCCAATATAATTTCTTTCATATATTAAGTAGTAAATGTACATTTATTTATTTATTTATTTAATAAGGTTCACATACAACTTTTACATTTTACATGCTACTTAATCAATAACACAAAAAATAATTTTGCCTAATGTAAAAGTCTTTTACAGGCGAACACCACATGCACTATTATAATATTTAATAATTTATTAACAATGACAATAACAATACATTATGGTTGTTAATTTTAAACTTAACGGGATTTATTTATTTTATAAATATCTATTTTATATTATAGATATATCTGCTTCTTTATTCCCGTTGTTTAATAAATATGATGAAGGAGAATTATATGACAATTATAACCTTCCAGGTAAAAAAAAAATCCAAAACCGTTTATAACTAACGGAGGTAACAAACATAACAAAAATACAACCGAATTGAGATCTTCCTTCTTTTTGAAGTCGGTTGAAAAATATTTAATTTACTTCAATCATTAGAATCAGTATTTAAAAGTCACACTATAAGCTCCGCTTTTTTGGTACTAGATGGGGCTGTGTATATATATTCTGTGTATATATATTCTGTGTATATATATAATATCCTTTGGGAAGGGATTGTTAGTATTGCAGGCTACCAGTCCCGTTGCTAGCAGTATACACTGTTAGGTCGACCTCCACGTGGTTCCCCCTGGAAACCATCGTAATGAATACACCTGGGATATGAAAAAGCAGGGCTAACTGACCTGCTTTTTTATATTCACCTATCATCCCTCACTGGTGCCCCGCTAGCGTATACCGTTAGCGCAGGCGCGATAATCATTCCATTATCATCTATTAAAAAAAAAATATCTGGGTATTTATATATTCTAAATTATTTCAGAGATGAAGGAGCAGAGTGCATGGACGGGGTTATCGACCCAATAAGTTTCAAGGCAACCTGCTCTACTATGTATGCTCAAATACAATTACACATATACAACCCTGACATAAATAACATAGAAATTAAAGATGTGCCAATTCCCGTTTCGTGTAATTGTAATATTAAAGATGTATAAAATGATAGCTGACTCTGCAATCCTTGTTTTGCTTTTTACCGCTAATTTTTCTCTTTCTGTCGAGCCAATTTTTTATTTGGATAAAAACGAATTATTAAAAATAATATATAAACTTCATGAAGGAAAAAGAGAAAAGGAGAAACCAGATTTCCAGTTAGAAACTCTAAGCCAATCCAAGCAATAGAAACCAGATACCAAAGATGAAGCTGGGACAAAGCCTCGCCACGAGGGGGTTTACATATTCTAAACTCTAACTAGAGCAAAGAAGTTCCCACTTGAGCCTAGCCTCAGAGGGCTAAGAAGACCTGTAAAATGCGATATGATTTAGATGTAAACATACTCCTTCTGCTTTGAGTTCCAGTGTTATTGGAGATTAGATAATATAAAGGCAATATTAATTTTTAAAGTCGCTTCTCTGAAGAACGATGTTGTGCTACAGCCAAATCACTCCCGTAAGTTTTTTAATCAGAAGTCCCGCCTTCTTCGAGCACTGCTTTTAGTAATAATTTTGCCTTGAATAATAAGTTGGAGTATTCTATACTTTTTACTAACTATAACGTGACCGAAATATGAGATTTTCTGACGGTTAACGATGTTTATGAACTCCAACTTCTTCCTAAGACTGCCTAATACTTTAATTATTGAAACTTATTGTAAAATACTATATTGTAGAACATTATTTAGTTGTAAATTAGCAATTTAATAATACTCGAAATTTACGGCTACTATTTACATTTATATAATTATACAATTTTATAGTGAAAAATACATTAAAATTAATTGTTATTTTAATTATAACAAAAAAAACAATATGTAAAATAAGTTATATTAATCAACTATTACAAAAAAAAACAGTTTAGCTTACTGAATTACAAAAAAAAAAAAATATAAAACCTCTGAATTAATTAGAAATTAAAATTAAAGAAAATAACATTAGAAATATTATTATAAATACTGGCTCTGTAATAACATGTCTAGAATTCATGGCTTTTATTTAAATTTATAAAATTTTACGTTATTAGTATTCTTTGGTAGTTATTCTTCATCGTATCGATGGACAAGGGGTCATATGTTATTAACCCCGTTTGAAATTAATTGTTATTTCCTATTTTATGTTATTATTTATGACAAATGAAATTATATCTTAAGCGTAAGACTGATTGAATTAGCCACGCATTCTGGACAAATATGCCCTTTATGGGATAAGTCTGTCATTGTATATTAAATCTTTTGATATATCCGCTGTAAATTATGTACAGTAAAATTACAATGCAATATAATATAATAATAATTACTATTACTACTATACACGTAAGTCAATCAGGTTAGTTGTACAGTTAAAATTATAGTAAGTACATTTAACTGTTTTAACAGTAAAATAAATCTATGTTGCAAACCTTGATTTTTATTTAAAACTATTTTATGAAAGGATCAAAGAGGTTAATAAAAACCTATCTACACAAGGACTTGATTTGCATAACCAATGTTTTATTAAAGTTTTTTTTTATATGTATTTGTGATATAAAATAATAAGTTTAGTGAAAAAATACGAGACATGTCTTATAAAAATCTGACACAAAACCAACTTAAAGATAATACATTGTTCTAAAAGACCTCAGTGTCAACAGCCAGTATTAAAACTCCAATAGGAAACCTATTTAATCTCATCTCTATATGGCGTATTAAAATAAAACAAACACCAGATTTTAAGTTAAAACTTCTAAGAACACAACCATTAAATTCGCATTAAATTTGGTGCAGCAGTCTTTGTCTGGAGGAGTTACTATTCCATTTTAACTACAGTTTCTATGATGGAATGAATAAATGATTCATTCCTTCATAGAATCTGTAGTTAATTCGTGGGAATTTTTTACGATGGACTTACTAACCTACTTTCATCCTCACTGGTGTTTTGCCAACTTATATTAATACTGCCGGAGTATTCCTATAGTGCAGGTGGGATATATATTAAACTTCAATACACATAGGCAGTATAAAGGCAGACTTTATATATATATATATATATATATATATATATATATATATATATATATATATATATATATATATATATATATATATATATATATATATATATATAAATCCGGTTAAATATAAAAAAAAACATAAAAAATCTCCATCCTAGAGACTACAGTATGGGAATCTTCAAAAAGGGTAAATTAAGGTTTCTTCAGGGTCGGAAACGCACACGTGACACTCCTACTGTTGCAGGTGTCCATAGACTAGTGACCGTTTACCATCAGACGGGCTGTATGTTTGTTTGTAGCTTTTGCGTTTTAAAAAAAAATCTACATATATGAGAAATAAACGGCACTTCATACATTATTCTTTATCTGTGGTTTCTTACGAAAAACGTGACGTATAGTACGATATTATCTGTGACGTAATGTAGAATGATGTCATAGACTACAAATCGGACGCCAGAGGGCGTATGTCACTCACGCGCAGGCGTTTGGCGTGCATGTGTGTTCATAGAACGGGAACTTTATCCTTGTTTAGATTTAATTGAATAATAATAAATGCCATACAACAAAAACTCGAGTTAGGTTACCTCAGTGTTATGAAGAGAGGAACTAAGCACCAAACATCTAGAGTATATGTACATATATATATTTTTTTACAACATAGGGGGCAAATGAGCATGCGGCTCACCTGATGGTAAGTGACTACCGCCGCCCATGGTCACCCACAACACAAACGGCATTGCAGGTGTGTTGCCGGCCTTTTGAAAGGGAATATGCTCTTTTCTTGAAGGTTATGTTGTTAGGCTCTTAGTTCCTTTACCTTAGTTTAAGGATAGATTGTTTATGTCTATAGACGATAGTTACCACATTCCATCTGGTGGACTGCCAGTTTGCCATATATAATAAAATATTATTATATTTATATATAATAAAATATTGTACCTACATCATATTTTGCTTAGGAATTTTTAACATAGGCTTAAAAACAGGCTTTAAATTTCTCCTTCTTCAACGTGATAGTTACGAGTAGTAGCATGTGTAAGTAGAGAGTAAGACATAAAACTATACTCATATCAGAGTTATCTGGAAAATACTCACTTTTATGGATTATTCTTTTTTTAATATGGTTACAATTATGTTAAATACAGGTAGTCGGAGTCTTTTGTCGATTTTTGAGGTTGTACTGTAACGTAAAATTGACAATTTGACATGACCACACTTCGACGAGCATATTAGAATCCAACGCACAGTATCTGCCTAGTGCTGCTTCAGTAATTATACTGTGCTATCTCGACCATTCTGATTTATTTGGTTTTACAATCGACTTCAAAAAAAGGACGTTCTTAATTCCATTGTACTTTTTTTTTCTGTTTGTTACCTCATTGTTCAATAATCATTCATAAATCGATTTGAAAAATTCCTTTTTTATTTGAAAGATTAGTCTTGTGAAAATGTAATAAAAAATTGGATCAGTATAGTTTTTAAACGAAAATAACTGGTTATATCAAAATTGAAATCGGTTTTTTTTTTGTAATACAATCTTAAATCATCTTATACATCATTGAAATATTAGTTGGAGATTTAACTTGACATATTTATATATTTATATGTATTTATTTCTCAATTGATATTGGTAATATAATAATAGATTTAAATTTCGTATAAAATATACAGCGAAAGACTGGCATATATTTAAAGTTTTTTTTTTTATTGATGATAGGTAAAAATAATAATTGATAACTGATATTGTAATAAATACAAATATATTTCTAGTTACAGCCAGTATTGTGTCTATGTATTATTATTATTATAATTTTTAACATTATGCAGCAATACATAATTAATTGCATTCAAACATTATTGCAAATAATGTTTTTACATTATTACATTGCTAGGGCTATTTAAAATATTCAATAATTTTATCATAAATACAGCCATCAGTTTATCTACGATATGGTATAATAAATTATCAATTTAAAAGTTAAATATAACTTTGTACAGGTTATTCAGCTATTCAGCGACAGTACTCATAAAAGGTATATTATTATTTGAAATTTTATAACTATTATATTTACACAAAATTTTTCTTTTTTATATTCCACTTTTTTACTTGTGGAATATTTTTTATTTAATTGATTCGCTTTTTAATAATTTTCTTGTATCTATTATTGATTAATAATAATTTATAGAAAATTAAATTAAATTAAAAATAAATTATAGAAAATTATTTAATAAAATTAAAATATAAAATTTTCTTAGAAAATATATTCTAATACTGAAAATAAATATCAACCAGTAGCAATTAATGGACATATTTCCAATATAGATCTTCAAACACACATCAACATAAATAAAAATTGTTCGCTAAACATGTTGCTAAACACAAAACGAAATATTTTTCTATTAATATCCATTATAGTCCTAGGAAGGTCTAAAATTAAGCGATAAATTGGAAAAATTATCTAAAAACTATTGTTTTTTTTTAATTTTTATCTAAGTTTTTATCAAACAAATTGTTTCTAATAGCTTTTTAGAGAATGACACGTTTGTCGGATCAGCTTGTAAATATTGTTTTAAAATACACCTTATAATGATGTTAGAACAATCGAAATCTTTTCCTTATAAAAAATAATAAAAATACTATACAATAAAAAATATGTACAGGTATTTGTAACGATTATTGGTATATAAAAAAAATACAATAAAAGTTCATCAAGGAGTCACAACCCAAATAATGATATATATATATATATATATATATATATATATATATATATATATATATATATATAAATAATATTCACACTATTGACCATTTTCAGGTTAAGGTTTACATATTATAATTTTTAATTTAATTTATTGCATCATTTAAATACATGAATACGTATTTTTATATGTATATTAATGCACCAAAATAAATTTGTGATAACGGATAATACAATTAAATATCTATCTATATATTTATTACTCATGTCTTAGATTTTACTTAATGTATAAAAAAAAGGTAATACAGTTGTTACTCGTAAGAGAAACTAAGTGTTGTGAAATAAATTTAAAAAATATCACAGAAATACTCTCTAAATGAATTTAGTAACAAATCGAAATTGTCAATGGATTTATTGATTATTTAAAAACATCAGTAGTCTTTTATGGTCGTATCAATTATTCCTTTATTATTATTTATTATTATTACATTTTCATTAATATGTATCGGTTCCAATTATAGAAAACTATTTTCTTTAACATAGCGATTATTCGTATGCTAGTACGTATGTATTAAAGCAGGACAAGCTAACTTGACTAGACCCAAGATCTATTGTTTACAATAACCCTGTGCGATCTACTAATTACATATTTCTTGAAACCTCAAATAAAACAACATAGTTAACTACACAATAATTAGGGGGGAAAGGGATTACTAGTAATGAAGACTAAGAATCCCATTGCTAGCAATATACCCAACCAGGTCGATCTCCTCGCGGTTCCCCCTGGAAACTATCATGGTTAATTCCTGATGAATTCATCATGATGGGCTAACTGGCCTGTTTTCATTCTCATCAATCACCCTTCACTGGTGCTCCTCCAGCGTATCCCGTTAGCGCAGGCGGGCTTACCATTCCATTTTCACCCATAACTACACAATAATGTAGTATTTTTTATTTTATTAAGAGGGAAAACTTTAAACTGAAAATTATTCTTAGTAATTACTTATTAAAGTGTGAATATTGCATCTGAGCATCTTTCGCTAGATTAGCGAAATATTATATCGTTTGACCAGTTGATCGCGATCGACCGATTGGCCACCCCTGACTGACCACTACTGAACCTGAATCAGCATAAGTAAGTGAGTCATATTAGGTGAGTCAGTGATAAACTATATTTCCCCTACACGACATAGATCATTATCATACACATCTATTGTTCGCCGCGGGGTCTCTCTCTTGAAATCATCGTGTTTAATTCCTAGTAAATTAGTCACGATTTTTTTTTTAATGATACACAGAACGGCAAATAAGGTGACAGCCCGCCTGATGGAAAGTTGTAACCGTCGCTAGACATGAATAGCACTATGAACACTGTCCTCTGATAAACATAGGCCTCCCCGATAAGGGGAGATTTGCCAGTAGTTGCCACACTTGGCGGACGGGTTGACAGCCGCAGGTAGACTTTGGTGATATTTTAAGAGGGATACTGCTGTTCATTCCTTGACTATTAAGTTCCCTTAGGCGCCTCTTACGACAGCCATGGGAAAAGAAGGGGTGGCCTGTTCTATGCCGGAACCACATGGCCTTATACTATGTACTATGAATATACTACGATACCCTTTAAATTGATTTACGAGTATTGGTCAATTAAGGTCAGTTGACAAATAAATCATCATCTTCATCGTTTTATCCATATTCATCGATTAGAAAATAAAGCAGACGTATTTCACTTTATTTGTATGTACAAAATAATGTATTTCTTGTATAGTTTGACTTTAAAAACTATAATTGTATACAAATTACATCACAGTTTTTGAAGTCATGAAATAGTAACACTTCTGAGTTAATACTGGCGTCTCAGTGTATTCTATGACGTCCACAGTGCTGTTAATGTCTTTAGGCTATGGTTAACATTTTTCATTACATCGATCATCTGTTTTCCTTTCCATATGTCGGGGTCGGAGGGAGTGTTAGTAACGAACACTTATTGCTAGCAATACGAGTAAAGCATATCCTATCAAGTTGATTTTCAAACAGTCCTCACTGGAAACTATAGCCATTAATTTTTGGTAAATTCATCATAATAGTGCAGACGACTATGATAGCTAACTTGCCGTCTACCGCCTCAGTAAGTACAAACGAGTCTATTGACAGAATCATTATCGCTTGCGACCCCATGAGATAGAATGAGATGGAAATATGCGCCGTCTTGTACTTTCTCGCGTGCGCACTAACCGATAGATTCGTTTGTATCTTGTCTAGGGCCATTTTTAGTGTTATACTAGTGATACCGTTACCGATATCTATCTATCCTATTTAAGAGTTGTACTCTTGTCGGTGGAGCTCTTGCCACTCACTACGATTTTCTGCGAGTCTCTTCACTTTTTGATAGTTAATTAGGGTTCAATAAATAAGAAACCCTTGTGATAGGAACGTCTTCACTAACAACCTTTAGTAATTTCACTAAACACAGCAAAAGATTAACTGTGTCAATATTATGTTATGTCCGTTGTATTATAAATATTATAATCTCCTAACTTTACAAGCGCAGCTCACTGGAATTCCACCTTTTGTCTTCACGCTCTCGATTTTAGTACTGTCCAGAGAGAGAACTAAGAAGGCGTAGTCGAGGTAGGTTTCCTCACAAGCCAGGTGGATGTACTGAAGTTGAGTGTCAGTGAAGTGTATCGAGTCAGTGGTGAGACGTCCCGGCAACCTATAGAAGAGAATTTTATTATAATTAAAATATAATTACAATTACTTTTAGTTGTTTTACGAAAGACCATATGGTTAGTAACCATAGATTATAATTATTTTGTTTAATTTCTCTACGATTAGTATGCATGGTACTGCCAGCACTTGAATGTTTATTCGAATATACATATACTTTAATTATAATACACTAATTATTTTTCACCGACTTCAAAACTCTTCTTCAATTCGGTTATATTTTTTTGTTACCTCAGAACACCGTCATTATAAAAACCGAATTGGAAATTTTTTTTTTTTTTGTCAAAAGTTTAGGTTATGTTTCTGAATATCTATGTAGTTTAGCCACAATTTAAGATGATATTACATTCGATTTCGCACAGCTTTTCTTTTTCCATATAATTTTTCAAATATTTTATTTCATAAAAACCTTACCGAGGCATTAATAAACAAAAAAAAAAAATAAGACAAAAAGGTACAGCTGTTCTAAAGCGATGCTCTATATATCAATGTGACTAAAATAGTGATAAACAAAGGTGTTAAATTTTAGATTTTAGTACTTACTACATGTTTTATATTTTATAAGGGACGAGAATTATCGCGAACATTTAAGTAAATTATGATACCTGAATTACCAGTCTACTGTCGACTACGGCCGGAGTAACCAGATCGAAACGTCGAGATTATTTTAGTATCTACATTAACATAGTTTTTCCCATTCCTTATGAAAGATAAACAAAAGGTCAAGATAAATGGTACTCTTGTTCTCAGAAGTTCATTAAATAAAAATTTTTTTTTTTTTTTGTTTTACGCGTCGATCAAATTTCTATTCACGTGAAAATGTTTTTTCCTCCAACAAATGTTAACATGATGAGTAATCTTGGTTGGGATATTTATGCGTTATTAGATATAAAATTGAGTTAGTACTTCACTTAATGTATTTTTCCGGAGAATGGATTGTTATTAATGGGTCATGGAGCCCCATCTCCATATACTCTGTCAGATCGATGCCCAAGCGAAAACTTGAATACTATAGCAGTTAATTCTTGTTGAAATCGTCACTGGAGGTCAATAGACCCGCTTTTATTCTCACTTATCGTCACTCACTGGTGCTCCGCCAGCGTATACCGATAGTGCAGGCAGGGTTACCATTCCATTATCATCTATTTAAAATTCAATTCTTCAGCTTTCTTCTTCTAACTCAGCCTTTCCCAAATTGGGTGATAACATTCCCTTGTGGGCGCTGTAGGGCTAAAGGGGGGCGGTAAGAGACCCGAAATAAAAAATGGCGGCGTTGTGTAGGGGTCTGGCGGGTTATTTATTGATCTTGAAGTAATAATGGTTTTTAAGTAGGTGAAAAAATGGGGGCGCTAAAAAATAATTTATTCTCAAAGTGAGCAGTAGACAAAATAAGTTTGGAAACCCCCGTTCTAACTCATTCCTGATCAGATGCAATTGGTGTTAGTTATACAGAACAGCCATCTTTTATAATATGACTTTTTTATAATACTTAATTTAATAGTGAACAAGTTGAAGGCTTACTTTATGGAAAGTGGTAACTGTTACCCAAAAAAAAAAATGAGCAGCACAGCGTTGAAGAATTACTGAAGAATGTTATGCTTTCATACATTGTAATTTCACTATCGTATTGATATATACTGGTATAATGAGCCTTTCGAACCAAAACACAACTATGCAAGCAAATACACGAGAGTACCCAAGCAGAACACATTTATTCCCATTATCTCATCCTGGTAAGTGGTTTTCTGTATAACTAGCTCTAGTCAATTTAAATTAAAAAATAAACTGAAATAAAATATCATTGCACTTTGCTTACATGCATTCCTCGACACGAAGAACCTGTTTGAATTTTTTCGATTGTACAACGTACCGCACGCGGTCGTTCTCGTCGATTATTTGGTAGATCGGTTGGTACTGTAAAAAAAAATATGGCAAATGAAGAACATGTAAAAAATTAACGTAAAGACAATCCTTACTAATATTATAATTGTTAATTTTTGGTGTCTTATCGCCCAATCGTCGTAAAATTTGGTATAAAAGTACTTTTGTATTTATTTCGGTAAATAAAACTAAGGTACTATTTCAGTTATTCAAAATACAAATTTGAAACAATTATTAGAATATTATTATGATAGTCATTAATACTTAAGTATTCACTGCTGAATGTGGCCTACAATTATTTACATTTATACCCATTTATTGGGGAGTTTTCTCAATAGTTGCCATGCTTAGCAGGCGGTTTGACAAGTGCAGTTAGGTTTTTGGTGATATTTTAAAGGGACGTTACACATCTCTCAACCATTAAGTTCCCTTAGTCGCCTCTTACGACACTCAATTGAAATTAAATGAATGAATCAAAATGAGTTCAGCAGTTTAATTTTTAAATCAAAATAAGAAATTATGCCACAATTAAATTCGTCTTTTCTTTGTGGAACACATTACTTTTATGAAACTGTTTCATGAATATGAAATGTGCGATGTGAAATTACTTTCAAATGAAACTAAATCGATCGAGTAAAAGATACTGGATCCACTGAAGAATGTAGTAGTATAAATAAGAAATATTAACAATATATATAAAAATGAGGAGGTCCTGCTTAGGATTAAGAAAAAAAGACAAATTATTAGAACTATTGAGGACAGAAGAGGAAAAATGTTGGAACACTTGATACGACACGACGAACTTATGAACATTATAATAGATAGGTAAGATAGAAGGAAGAAGGGGAAGAGAGAGACCAAGAAATAGTTACATCAGGCAGATCAAGGAAGGAGTTGGTGTCGTGTTGTATCAAGAGGTGAAGAGACTCGCTGAAAATCGTAGTGAGTGGCAAGAGCTCCACAGACAAGAACGCAGCTCTTAAATAGGATAGATAGATAGATAGATATAAAAATATTTTAAATACGCTACCGCATTCGAGAATACTTTTAGCATTAAGTCCGCCATGTACACATATTTGTACTAATGAATAAATAAAATAAATAAATAAACTGGGAATTATAATGGTACAACTATTGAGTTGTACATAAAAATATAAAACTTACATAGCTATTCTTCTCGCAATCATTACTGTCAATATCATCGCCAATTCTTTTAGTCGTTGTATCCGTGTCCACAGAAATACTATTGTCCTGAAAATGTACAAAACATTATTTATTTCTTTGTTGAAAAACCAACTGCTTACAAATTATTACTTAAAAATAACAACAATTTATCCATGTAAAAAGCAAATAATAGGTTCTCACCGATTTAGCAATATAAATTTATCGTGGCAGGAGTAATTATATAAAAGGAAACCAACAGCTACTTTACACTATAGTGCATCATAAAAATAGTTACTACATTTAAAAAATTTTTTTTTTTATGAGCAGTATCATGGACATAACAAAGTACTGTTTCGCCCATGACACCCTCCATGCGTTACCATTCCTGAGTACTCAGGATACAAGAACGAAGTCGCTGGTAAAAACTAGTTTTTAATATTAATAGAACACTTTCTACTCACCAAGTCGACAAGCATGCTATCTATTAATTCTGTTGGATAGTGTTGAGTTTTCGTGAAACAGTAATTCTTCTTACAGTCTTCAGGCAGGGTAGCTGGAATAAGGAATAAAAAATAGTTACCAAAAATTACAATATTAGAATATACATATTATGTAAATGTGTGTTATGTATTGTATTTATTTGTTTATGTAATATATATTATTAAAAGTATTTAGCATTTTTTTTATTAGTTCTATTTCTAGCGTTAAATAGCTACCGTCTTTTTGTTTCTCATCTACCTAAAGGTTGCCTAGAAGAGATTGCTTCAGCGATAAGACCGCCTTTTGTAATTCATAAGTGTAATATATTTATTTATTCATTTATTTATTTTAAAAGGTACATCAACAGTGTAAATACAGACATTAATTTTAATTGATATACAGGGCTTGCATCTTGCGTTTACACTAATTACAGATGTACACAACATTTTCTTAAGTCATCGATTACATGTTAACAAAACTGACAGCAACAAAACAATAAAATAAAAACATACAGGTGATAACATAAGAATACATATGTATTTATATATTATAATATATATTTATCTTTGTATTATTCTTTAAGCGGTGTAATAAAGAGTAAATAAATAAATAAAAAAAAAATACATTTTTGTTTTAAACTAGACAGTAATATCTTGACTTCTATCATATCATATCAGCCTTGAACTGTCCACTGCTGAATATAAGCATCTCCTTTGAGGCGTTTTGCCAATAGTTGCCACGTCTGGCAAGCGGATTGGTAACCGCAGTCAAGCTTTAGAGATGTTTTAAGAGGGATGCTGCTGCCCATCCCTCGCCCTTCCTTAGTCGACTCTTACGACACCTACAGGAATGGAAGGGGTGGTCTATTCTATTCCAGAACTACAGGGCCAATTATCTTCATATTAATATTTAAATAAAATAGCTTATTTTTTTATGGTGTGCTTTAAAAAATATTTTAATCTTATAGTGATTGACTACACTATAATTTTTATAATAACAATTATAATTTTATTTCTGTGTTTAACATACATTTACATACTGATAATGCTTTCGAGTTTTTGAATACGTAATGTGAAAAACAATATATTACGCAACATACTTTTTTTTGGGACATTATTTAATACTCAAAATAAACAGTGTTAATGGTGCACTGCTCTCAATTATGGCAAGCAAAATATGTATCGAGCAAAACTCGCCTTGTCAGGGAGTACTGACATCAACGTTCATGCTTACATGAGAATCGTGGGTATAGCAGAGGAACCATGAAAGTAAGATAAATGCTGTAGAGATAAGAACTCTTAAAGGTATGTGTGGTAGATACATATAAAGATAGATTATATAGTTTATATAGAGTCTCTCCATAGAAGTGCTTCGAGAACGGATTAACTCTTTCATACAATTTTGCGTGATAAATAGTTATTATTAACTCCTTTACAACTTGTATATTTATTTTGTTTTATAAATTATGTATTTTTTTAATGCGTAAATAATTATTTTGTTTATTAAATAATACGTCAAGATACATTATGTGCGTAAGTATATAGAATACTGATAAAGAAAGCGTCAGCTAATTTGGTAATTAGCTGACAAAATGTTGACCCGTTTTTGAAGCTCGATGCTCTATCTATATAATCTAAGATTAAAATATACAGTGAGAAATAATATAATTAGAGAGAAGAGTGGACTGAAGGGCGATGTAGTTTTAAAATCTAAAAGGGAATGTTATATTGCTGTAGTTATTTGGAGAGGATGGGTGAAAGAAGAATTACGAAAGAGATTTATCGAGCAAGAATGAATGGAAACGTCAACAAGGGTCGTTCTAGATGGACGTATGCCGAACAAATAGGCAACGTGCTTAAAAAGAATCAAAAGTACCTGTAAACGGTGTATATGAAAAGATTAATGAATATGGAAGAAGCAAAAAAGTCCTGTCTGAATCGAAGCATTTGGTGTTCCATGACGTAACAGATATGTTTATATGTATGTTTAATACCTTTACTTCATCTATATTAGTTCGGGGGAGAAGGGATTGTTAGTAATGGGGACTAGCAACCCCATTACTAGAAATTATCTTATGGGATCGACATCCACGCGGTACTCCTTGGAAACCATTGTGGTTAATTATTTTTGAATTTGTCACGATAGGTCAACTGACCTGCTTCCATCCTCACCTATCACCTTCACTGGTATTCTGCTAGCATATATCGACAGTGCAGGTGGAGTTACCATTCCATCATCATCCATTACAAAAAAGTATAAGGCTCCGTGGTGGAGTGGTATGCCTATCGCTTTGTAAATATGATTTCAGGTTCGGTTCTTGTTTGGGCCAATTTTGGAAATGAACTTTTCTAAATTGGCTCAGGTCTAGATGTCCTGGAATGTATTCCTAGGTGCTCGTTGTTTGCTTTCTCATAACACAGGCTCTCCTAGTTTCAGAGGCAGGCAATTGGTGTGATCGTGTACCAATTATAGCTAAGGACCAGGGTATTCGTTTGTTGTGTGGTAATAATATGCATGAAGATTTGCATGGTTACCATTAACATAATTGTAGTTGCTGGGTTTCCCATGAGCGGTTGCGGCAATCGCACAGATCTAAAAATAATCAATGAAATCGTTAATTACGACTATACAGGGTATAATCCAAGTCGCTAGTATCCGTTTAAAGGGAAGAATGATCTACTATCTACTAATGAAACTAAACATTTTTCTCATTTTTCAACAGAGTTCAAAACGAATGAGATTCTCAATTCAGTTGTATATTTTTTACCTCATAACTCAGTCAGTTTTAAAACAATTTGCCAAATTCTTTTTTATCTGGAAATATACAGGTACTTATAGATTGGTTCCATAGATATTTTATCAATATCGATTCAGTAGTTTAATTTTGAAATCTAAATTACTGATTTTACCTTTTCTACTTAAATGGTTTTTAGTTCGTAAAACAAAATCTTTTAAAAAAAAATTAGCTCGCTATTGAAGAACATATCACTTGAACGCACTCAAAAAAAAAAATACAGTCAAATTAAGCATAAAGTTGTTTTCTTTAAGGTAGTTAAAAATCGAAATTAAAAATTAAACAACGTATTATTAGTTAAAAACATAAATTTTTTTTTTCTAACTAAAACATAATATTTAGGTAAATTTTCATAACATAAAAATTAAAAAAAAAAAATAAACTTACGATTAAGTAGAGTATTTTGACGGACATTTTTTTTTTTAAATTCGCACACGAAAACTGCACTCTGAATATAGATAATATACTAGTTATAGATGAAACACAAACACGCTCACTCTATCGCTTGCAATCATAAAATGCCGTTCACCGAAGTCTGTTCGATTTATATATGCAATACAAGTTGAACGCTATGTACTTACCAGTCCAGTATTATCTATAAACGTATGAAACGTAATTGTCTATACTGTGGTTATACTTTGTGGTCCATAAAATGTAATTGTTTAAATATTCTATCTGTGACGTGATATTCGTCATCACTGATAAATTAAATTATACATATTCGTCATAGAATCCTTATTATATTTTTCTTACAATACATAAGTTTATTATATAAGAAATAGTGACCAATTATGATTATAATAATTGTGATTCGTCACTATTATTATTCATTTATTAATATATCTTAATAAATGAATTTTAAAATAAAATGAACATTCAATTTATATTTTAATTAATTGTTATTTATAATGTCATTTATTATTTTTAATTTTTCTAATGAGCGAGATTTTTAAAAGAGCATATAACTAGGAACACTAACTAGGTAAACTAATGAAATGGATCACTTTTAGATAAACCATATTTAAATTTTATGTTAGACCTTCTGAAAAACAACTGCGCCGGAACAATAAAAATAGACAGAAAATATTAAAAAAAAAAAAAAAAATTGGCTTCCATTTCTTTTAATAAGATTTATCATTTTTTTTCTTATATATCCCGTGTTGAACATCGTGTAGTTGCAATGTTATTAATAATAATTTATATAAATATAATATAATTTATTTAATAATTATTTTATTAATTTAAGATAAAATGCTCATACTTTATAAATGCCTGAAAGGCATATAGCCTATGAAGTCTATCTACCAAATCATCAATAATCGCGTATTAAAATCGTCATTATCATAATTTCAGCCATTATCCATCTACTGCTGGATATAAGAAGACCCCCATAGACTGCCATAAAGAACGCTCCTGAGCCACCTGCATCCACTGACTCCCTGCAATGTATGTAAAAGCTTCAAACTACTACCAGCGGGCTATGGAGAGGGCTATGCTTGGAGTCTTTTTGCGTGATAGAATCCGAAACGAGGATATCCGCAAAGGAACCAAAATAACCGACATAGCCCGAAGGATAAGCAAGCTGAAGTGGCAATGGGCTGGTCACATAGCTCGAAGAACCGACAGCCGATGGGGAAGAAAGGTTCTTGAGTGGCGACTGCGTACGGGCAAACGCAGTGTAGGACCACCTGCACTAGATGGAGTGATGACCTGAAATGTGTTGCAGGAAGTCAGTGGATGCAGGTGGCTCAGAGCCGTTCTTTATGGCAATCTATGGGGAGGTTTATGTCCAGCAGTGGACGGATAATGGCTGAAATGAAATTAAATGATATTCTAGCCGTGTAGGCCCCGGAATAGAATGGGCCACTCCTTACGACACCCACGGGCCTTTCCCGTGGGTGTCGTAAGAGGCCACTAAGGGAGGGCAAGGGATGGGCAGCGGCAATGTATTTAACGCGACTCTAGATAATTCTGAGTCGCTTCCAATATCTTTGGCAGGCTGCTACTAAATATATCAATGATGTATATAATATTATTTAGTAACCGTAGTGCGTGAGTTAAGGGAGCGTGCTGAAGTAGGTTAGTTCTTACTGGCGGAACATTAAACGTAACCGGATGATGGCGCGCGCTAACTTAACCTCTTATATCTTTATTCATGTAGGCCTATTACAGACTCTTATTATAATTATGTCAAATCTACCGTCAGTTCGGAATGATTTCGAGATGAGGAGAATTGACAAGAAACTGAGCTCGTTTTCTTTTCAAATAAATTTTATGCATGTTTAGAATAATATAGACTCATTTTTAAATCAAATTTGGAAGAATAGAGTGACCACCAGCATATGCCATTGCAAAAGCAAATAGTTTAATCAGTGTTTGTACCCCAAACAGACCCCCACAAGCAGCACCCGTTCACGAGTATGACGGATGAGCCAGCCATCATTGCACTCAACCGTATTAGAGGGAGCACATCGACCCGGCCCACCATGCCGCCACAAGTTTAAACTTTATGGCGAGCATGACTGTTTCAAGTTACCCCACTACGTCATTTTCAGTATTTACAGCATAGGCTGTAACAATCACAGTTTTCCCTTATTACAATATTTGATTTATAAATAAATCTACATATATATTTACAAAAAAAAGATAAAACTATTTATGAATTTCTATTAGTTGTAATCTAAGCATAGTACGAGTTTTGCTTAGTTTGGGACTAGATGGCGCTGCGTAGCATGCCCAGTGTTATTTTTATATTATTATTATTATTAAACAATTATCGTTGTGTAGGTCCCGGCATATTATGAGTCACCCCTTCCTTTTCCGTGGGTGTCGTAAGAGCGGCGAGCTTATGGTGGAAGAATAGGCAGCAGCATCCATCTTAAAACATCACCAAAAGTCGAACAGCGGTTGCCAACCCGCCTGCCAAGCGTGGCAACTATTGGCAAAACCTTTCTTATGGGGGATGCTATGTTCAGCAGTGAACAGTTAATGGCTGATACAACAATTATTAAAAAAAATGTCTTCTCTTTCAGTCATATGACCGGAAGTTTGATATTCTAATTGTCAGAAAAAAACTATTCCAAATTTGAAATTGATAGCATTAGTAGAATGGACGGACAAAATGACATTACAAAATTAAATTATAAAAGTTCCTTCTTACATTTTTGCTACGGAACCTTAAAATAATAGATTAAAACATTCTTTTCAGAATTACTATGGGAACAGGAAAATACGTGTAAATAATATGTGGGGAAAACCGCGAGCAATGGTCAGCAAAGATTAAACGAGTATAGTGAAATGCATTCGTGAACTCATTCCATAGATTGTTTAACGATCGGTCTTAATATAATAATACAATATTAATGAGACGGTCGGGCTTTTAACGACCATGTATTTTTAGACAAAGTAAATGTACTTTGTCTATAGATAAATATAATATAGATAGATATATAAATATATATATAAATACACATAATATTAACAGAGATTTAAAAGAATAATTGTTGAGTTTCTTGCGGGCTTTTCTCAACAGATAACAACCTTCCGAACCCTGTAGTAGATTAAAAAAAATTACGATTTAAAAGTGCTTGAAAACAAATCTATTTGAATAAAGATGATTTGAATTTGAATTTTGAAATTCTTTTTAACAATACCAACTTCTTACTAGGGGGAGACTTTGTACAAAAGTCGATTGCTTGGGTACCTCTGTCTCATTCGTGTTTCAACCGTGAAGCAGTTATGTTTGCATGGCTATGTTTCGGTTTGAAGAGTGGGATATGGCGTGAATTTACTGGGTACAGAGGAATAACACCTGAGTCCTCAGGAATGGCAACGCATGGGTGTATCATAGGCGAAACAGTATACTCTGTTATGTCCATGGTACTGCTAATGTCTATAGGCGACCGTTACCACTTTCCATCAGGTAGGCCGTCAGCTTGTTTGCCATTCTAAGTTGTATAAAAAAAAATACAATCTTAGTGGTATAGCAGTTGATTACACCGCTTCACCTTTCGATGGTTGTAAGTTCGATCTCCATATAATACAAACACTTTCATGAATATGTCTGTTTGTATTGTTTTAGGTAGGTATCTTTTATGTATGTATGAATTTACAGATTTTTTTGAAACATTTCTATCATTGTTATCTAGTCTCTATATTACAAGTATTTACGTAAGTAAATAAGTACGTACGTAAGTAAGTAAGTACTTTTGGACTCAATGAGGAAGAAACGCCACAGCATTTAATTTCTAGCTGTAGTCCGTACATAAACGATATATCTCCTTTGTAAAATACAGTTTATATCCTGAGAAGATAAATAGCATTGCTATAAAGAACATCTTTAATTTCCTATCATTGATAGGAATTAGCAGCGAACTTTAAAAAAAGGCGAGCACAAAAGATCATAAAAAGGTTTAAAGAAAGTTTTTTTTTTATACAACTTAGAATGGCAAACAAGCTGACGGCCCACCTGATGAGAAGTGGTAACCGTCGCCTATAGACATGAGCAGTAACATGGAAATAACAGAGTATACTGTTTCGCCTATGATACCCTTCATGCGTTGCCATTCCATCTCTCAACAATGATTATAGTTTTGGATTAGATGATAGCAGTGTGTGTAATATCCACTATGCAATTTTGAAATGATTTTGACATTGCTGTATATTAATCTAGTGGTGTATTAATTTAGTAGTTTTAATTTTAGTAATTTATTTTTAGTTTTATTTTAAAACTAACAATAGAATGCAAGCGACAAAATTTTTTTGTAACGTCCAGATTTCATTAATTTGCATAAAAAAAAATTATGTGATGCGAGCGTGGAATTCTATAGGGTAGGTATTATAGTAATTATATCTGTATATATATTTATAATTTATAATTTTATCTGTGAATAAGGTTATGGAAAATACCAGGGGAATTGGAGATAACGGGTTTCCCGTAGGGAAAGCCCGAGGATGTCCTTTGATAATTTTAATGTAGGTCTTTTATATATTAAAATTATAACATTATAATTAATTGTACACATTAATTGTATACAGAAATTTTATACCATTATAACTTAACATTTTTAGCAATAAATGATTTTACCAGAGGGAGACTTTGTACAAAAGTCGTTTGCTTGGGCACCTCTGTCTTATTCGTGTTTCTAACGTGAAGCAGTTGTGTTTGCATCGCTGTTTCGGTTTGAAGGGTGGGATGTGGCAGTGAATTTCAGGATACAGAGGAATAACAGCTAAGTGCTCAGGAATGGCAATGCATGGGGGTATCATGGGCGAAACAGTATACTGTATACTCTGTTATGTCCATGATATTGCTCATGGCTATAAGCGACGGTTACCACTTTCCATCAGGCGGGCCGTCAGCTTGTTTGCCATTCTAAGTTGCATAAAAAAATGAATATTCCTTAAGGACTACAGTTTGAGGTACTTAAAAAAGGATATTTTAAGGAGACCCTAGTGTACCATTCGTCAATAGGCTAGATTGACCCTTTACTATTAGGCGGGTTGTATGCTTGTTTGTCACATTTCATCGTAGTCGTAGAATATTG